CAGGAGGGAAAAGTGGATTGATGAGAAAACCAAAAAGATCAAAGAGATCACTGTGAAAGGTACGAACCCGTTGGATAGAGATGGAACACAAGAAAACCTGTGCATGTCTGCTCAACCCTTCCCAACCCATCCGTGCCACTGTGGCCAGGGCTGAGACACCCGCAGAGCTCTGGGTTGTGCTGAGCATCCTCCCTACTGCCCCAGGACTGGAGCCAGAGATCCAGAAGCTGATCACCAAGCACCGTCAGGACATTCAGAAGCTGAAGATGCTGCATGAGGCCGAGCTGCTGCAATCAGACGAGCGGGCAGCACAGCGGTACTGCAGGCAGGCGGAGGAGCTGCGGGGACTGCTGGAGCAGCAGAAGGAGGAGCAGAGCCAGCGGGAGAGGGAGCTGGCCCGGCAGCGGTATGTGGGGCTCGTGGCATCCAGCAGCCAGCCACAGTGGGTTCCTGGTGCTGTCAGCAGTGGGGCACGTGGGGCAGCCCCAGGAGGTGGTATCTGGGCATCCTCCAGAGATCTGTTGGATGGCATACAGGGCAGGGTGGAGGGAAAGCCCTGCAGCTCTGTGCTGGGGGCCCAAATGCCCTGAGCCTTGCACCTTGCTGAGACTGCTCTGCCCCCAGGTGTGAGAAGCAGCTGGAGCAGGAGGAACAAGCACTGCAGCAGCAGCGGCGCCGGCTCTATGCAGAGGTGGCCGAGGAGAAGGAGCGGCTCAGCCAGCAGGCAGCCAGGTGAGGGCTGGGGCTGGGGGGTGGCTCTGTGCCATGTGCCGTGTCCCCCTGGCACGTTGTGAGCTGTGGGCTGTGTGTGGACAGGCAGAGAGCAGAGGTGGAGGAGCTGAGGCGGCAGCTGGAGGCGAGCAGCTTGGCTGTCACTGCTGCACTGAAGGAGGAGTATGCCAGAGAGAAGGAGGAGCAGGAGAGGCGGCATCAGGTGTGTTGCTCCTCTGTCCCTTGGGGCCTAGCAGCACGAGCAGGGCTTTTCTGGGTGCATACAGTCCGTTCCCTGTGTCCTGACACAACCAGGAGCTGCGTGCGTGGAGCTGCGTGCTGGCACCCTGTGGGCAGCATGCGCACGTGGGATGAGGGAGGGCTATGCCCAGCTGTACCCACTGGAGCTGAGATTCTCTTCCATGTCCATCTGTAGACAGAAGTGAAGGTGCTGAAGGACCGACTGGAGCTTGAGAAACAGGCCTGGGAGGCCAGCTATGTGAAGAAGGAGGTAATGGCTGGGGCTGCCCTGCTTGGGAGGTGCTGCCCTCAGGCTCAGAGCTGATGTTTCCCCCTCTGTTGCTGTTTCCAGGAAGCCTGGCTGCTCTCCCGGGAGCGGGAGCTTAGGGAGGAGGTGAGGAAGGAGAGGGACAAAGAGATTGAGTTGGTCATCCAGCGCCTGGAGGCCGACATGTCCTCCGCCAAGGAGGAGTGCGAGCGGGCGGCTGAGAACAGGTGGGGAGGGAGAGAGGGTGCTCCCGATTGCCTTCCCTGTCTTCCAAGCCTGTGCAGGGAGCTCTGGACACGTGCTGGGGCTGGGGATCTCCCGTGTGGCTGCAGCACTGGGCTCTGTCCTCTTCTCCTTTAGGATCAAGAGGATCCGGGACAAGTACGAGGTGGAGCTGCAGGAACTGGAGAGGTCTGAGAGGAAGCTGCAGGAGCGCTGCAACGAGTTGAAGGGGCGGCTGGTGGAACTGGAAGGGGAGAGCATCCGTCTGCAGGGCCTGCTGAAGCACAAGGAGCAGGAGGTGGAGGAGATCCGGAAGGTGAGCAGAGAGCAGGGTTGGTGGGTCTGCCTCCAGCACGCTGCATCACAGCACGGGGTCACACCGGTGTCACCCTGCAGGTACGGGACCAGCTGTCACAGGAGAGGAGCAGCCTGGCAGAAGTGATCCGGCAGGAGTTTGCAGACAGGCTGGTGGGCACCGAGGAGGAGAACAAGAGGCTGAAGGCAGAGATGGCGGAGCTGCGTGCCCGGCAACGCCTGGAGCTGGACAGGGTGGTACGGGAGAAGGAGCGAGAGCTGGAGGAGGTCCATAGGAGGTGAGGGGCTTTGTGCTGGGCTTGCAGCTGGGGCAGAGGCACACGGCTGGCCTGGGGGGTTCCTGCTGGTCCAGCACATGTTCTGCAGCCTGCTGCGGGCCCACATTAAGCTCCTGCATGGACATGGAGGTGGGAAGTAGTTGCCATAGCTCCAGGAGTGCTTCAGGGCTGTAGAGAGCATGGGTTCTGGCACTGCTGGTGCTGGATGGGCGTCAAGCAGCTGGTCCTTTGCTTTTCCTGCCTGCGGGGGAGGGATTCTGCAAGCAGAACAGGAATGTGATGGGGAAGCACATTGTCTTCTGCAGGAGCACTTTCAGTGTGGGGCAGGGGCTGTGCTGGCTGCTGTCCATGTAAAGGCTGATCCCTCCTGTACCTTTGCAGGACTGTTCACCACTAGCTGCAGTGAGCAGGCAGAGCTCAGAGGCTTTCCCAGAGCCAGCCCAGTGCTTTACTTGGAGAGGCAGGGTCATGCCCTGAGCATGGGCCAATGCATTACCACCATGCACACTAAGCCATGAGCCAGTGGGGGTTTGCTAGGAAGAACTGGGAAGAAATTTCTTTAGTTAATGAAGTCATGTGAAACTCACGTCCCATTCTTCCTGCAGATGGCTTGATTCAAATGCGTAGTGCTACCAAAGTGAATAGCAGTGCTCGTAGCATGAAGGGGCACCTGAGGTCCAGAGCAGCTGCTCTGATGGTGCTGCAGCTTGCTTGGGGTGTGGAGGAGAGGGGCAGCTTTTTGCTGTGCCCAGATCCGGGAGCGATGAGAGCTGGGCGCTGGGCTCAGCCTCTCCCCATCTCCCTGCTCAGGGTGAAGACGGCCGTGGCGAGGAAGGAGGAGAACGTGAGCAGCCTTCGGAAGCAGTACGAGGTGAGCAGGTTGCTGCCCCTGCCCTTCCTGTGGCACTTCCCAGGCACAGCTCACCCTGGCTCGCTGTCTTCACAGGCTGCAGTGCAGAGAGCCGACCACCTGGAAGCCCTCCTGGAGCAGCAGCGCCGGCAGCTGCTGGCTGCCGAATAGCCCTGTGGCACCTGGGTGCATGGGCCCCTACCGTGGGGCTGGGGGTGGCCTCCTTCTTCCCTCCCCTTTTTTTTTTAATTGGTGCCTCAGTCGGGGGTCCCAGTGGGGCCACGTGGCAGCGTTTGGATTTCTGGTGGTTGTGTTTTAACAATAAAAGCTGCTCTGGTTTCTACAGCTTTGATCTATATGTCCTTGGGGAGAGGGGAGCCTCTGTGCTGTTGGCATCCAGGGCTTTTTTTGTTTCTTTTCTTCTCTGATGCGTGCATCCCCTCCCTGCGTGGCCCTGAGCTGTGCTGGGAGCCGGGGGCTGAGCCCTGTGGGCAGTGAGGGGCCCTGAGCTCTGTGCAGAGGGGAGGTCAGTGCCGTGTGCTGGCAGTGGGCTGAGCACAGCCTGTTCCCTGCCACCTCAGGGTGTGGGGGGAGAGGAGAGCCGTGGCCCAGCAGCTTGCTGTCTGTTCTGCAGCCCCGTTCTGCCTTTCAAATGAAATAGCTGGGAAGTGCAACGGGAGAAACCAGGCTGCTGGGAGGAGACGGGACCAGGGCAGGATGCGATCTCACAGCTCCGCAAATCCCTCACCACCACCCAACAACATTGGGAAACGCCTGCGCTGAGCTCACGGCATCTGTTTCCTCTTGTCAGGCAGTGTGTGACCCCTCTTGTGCAGGCTTTTCTCTCCAAGAAGGCCAGGGCTGCTGCTCGAGGACAGCAGGTTTTTCTCATTGGAGTCCCAGGGCTGACACGTGCCTTCAGCCAGGCTCTGTGTCTGTCCACAGGACAGAGGGCACAGCAGGCACAGTGTTCTCTCTGGGTCACCTCCCATAAAAGCCATCTCCCTGATGGTCGTTTCCCATAAAACACTCCATTTCATGCTGCAAACGGCCAAACCACACAAGCAGCTGATTGTGCACCAGTTCCCCCTTTCTTTCTCTCTCCCCTTTTTTGGCACTGTGGTAAGAACAGCCACCTTCCGTGTTACCCCGCAGTGATACCATGGTGGAGCATGGGGTGATGCTGCCCATACAACCCAGCAGAAAACCCCAAGTGGCACCTGCACTGCCATGGCTGCTGGATGGCAAAACCCACAGTGATGACAAGGGACGCCTCTGTTTCCTGCTTGCCCCAAAGACTGAATGATTCATAACCAGAAATCTGCATCGAGTGTGCAATTACTGTGCTGTGTGCTGACAGTCGGAGTTCAGCCTGATCGGCAGAAGGTGCTGGAAAGCCCAGGTAACGGGGTTCTAAAGCTGTGCTCATGGTTGGTTCTGTGTCACTGAGCTGTGCCAATAGCTGGCAATTCTGTGGCTGTAAGAAGTGTAGGCAGCAGTGAGCTGCGCTGCCGAGCTCTGCGTGTGACCATAGCATGGCTGTAAGCACGGCCCTGAGGGTCCCTGAGGGTCCATCCTGCAGTGCTGGGTGACAGCCCTCCAGGAAACACGCACCCATCTGGGGCGATGACTTGCTGTGAGCCCTGCTTTTACTGTTCTTGCTTCTCTAACTGCTTCCTGAGTTCCATTTCCCCCCTTTCATGCAGCTTCCGCCCGCAGCGCTCCGCACCGTGCCCTGAGCTGCGCTCTGTCCCATCTGCACCGTGCTGCCTGGGGCTGGATGCTGGCTGTCCCCGCTCCAGCTGTACTTTGTCACACGGGCACAGCGGCCACGGAGTCCCAAGGCCGACGGGAGGAAGGCAGGGGAGAAGACAGGAGCGCTTTCCACCTTGAGCCCTGCACCAAGGCTGAGGCTCCCATCCCTCCCTGCAAGCATCCACCATGAGAAGACCCCCAGGAGCCCGCTGCTGCCCCCCAGCCCTGACGCTGTGCTCGGGACGCTGTGCCCGCAGCACCGGGCTGCTCCTCGCCCTGCTCGCCGTGCTGCTGCTGCTCCTGCCGCTGCCCGCACAGCGCAGCCTGTGGCTCCAGCTCTCCAGGTATGGTGGGGCAGTGGGGTGGGAGCGGTGCGGCCCCCTGGCCGTGGGGTTGTTTTGCTCCAGAGCCGCATTGCCCTGGGGAATGATTAACCCCGAACCCACCTGTGCCTGCCCCCTCTCTGGGTTCTGTGCTCGGTGCAGCTCCTGGCCCAGGCCTGGGGCCCAAAGAGGTGACTCCAAGCCCAGCTCCTGCTTTCTGTTTTGTGGGGTTGGGGTGGCACAGCACTGCTCAGATGGGTGCGGGCAGAGCCACAGCGGCACACCTGCACCTGTCCTGAGCCTCCTCTGCACCTTCTGTCGCAGGGCTGGGGATGGGGATAGGACCCCCCTGCATCTCTCCTGGCCTCCTCTCTCTTCCTGCAGGACTCCTGTCCACCATAGAGCCACAACCACAGCAGCCCCACAGCAGGTGACACAGGCAGCACAGCCATCCCCTGTCCCTGGCATGCCACCAGACCTCGGGGACACATATGGGCAGGATGAGACCTACAGCAGCTCGGTATAGCAGTGCCACAGGGCTGGGGCAGGGACACAGAGGTATCATGTCCCTAGCTGCAGGACATCATGAAGGTGCTGTGCCGTGCGGTCACTCGTCCCCTGTGCTTCCAGGGCTGTCCCAACAGCATCAGGAAGAGAATTGGGGCCACCGAGTTTGGGGACACTTTCCTGCCCACCATCCCGGTGCTGCAGTGGGCACGGCACGCACAGCAGGATGAGTACCAGCGGCTGCGCCGATACAGGGGGGCTCACGGCTGGAAGGACATCCGCTGGGATGGTGCGTGCGGGTGGGGGCACGGCGGGTCCCTGTGCCCGTTGCACAGGAAAGGGAGAACAGCACCATCCCGTGGAGAGGGAGGAGAGAGTGCTGAATAGGAGACCCCCGCCTCCTGCCGCCCGCAGTGCTGAAGTCATCCCTGTCCCTCCTCAACGCCTCGAGCAGCGCTCTGCTCTTTGACACCCGCCCTCTGGCCGCAAGTTGCATCCGCTGTGCCGTGGTGGGCAATGGGGGCATCCTCCACGGCTCCGGCATGGGCCCCGCCATTGATGCTCATGACTACGTGTTCAGGTGAGGGCGTAGGGCACGGCCGGGTGCAGCTGAGGGGGAACCACCACCACCTCCCTGTACGTCCCTTTGCAGGGTGAACGGGGCCATCACGGAGGGCTTTGAGCACGATGTTGGCAGCAGGACGTCCTTCTACGTCTTCTCCACCAACACCATGGTGAACGCGCTGCACAGCTACGCCGCCGATGGCTTCCGGCATCCACCCCAAACACCGGTGGGGAATAGTGGGGCAGGGGGACAGGGGAGCTGTGTGCACAGCACCGTTGTCATCTCTTTGATTGTTGGTGCGTCCTTTGCTGCAGGAAACTTGCTACGTCTTCCTCCCAGACCACGACCGTGATTACCTGCTGCTGCGGGCGGCCCTGAGCCAGCAGCGTGTGGACAGCGGTCGGGATGAGGGGGTCCGGTAAGTGGTCGTGTGTGGGGAGGACACAAGCACATCCCTGTGCCCCACTGCTCCCAGCAGCTGCCTGCACCTCCCCACAGCCCCCAGGAATTCTTTGGGGAGGACCTGCAGGTGGGGAAATTTAGGATGCTGCACCCGGATTTCATCCGCTACCTCAGGAACCGGTAAGAAGCCCCCAGGTGGGGGGATTCCCCTTTCCCATCCCACTGCTGGAGGTCTCTCAGGCTCCCATTCACTCCCTGCAGATTCCTCCGTTCCCACATCCTGGCCACCCCACTCTGGCAGCTGTACCGGCCCTCCACCGGCGCCGTGATGCTGCTGACCGCCATCCACACCTGTGACCAGGTGGGCACCCTGTGTCCACAGCTCTGCTCTGGGTGCAGCACAGCTCCTGCAGCCCTCCACCCCACCCAGCAACGCTGCTGCCTCCCACTTGGCATCCACGCACCCCCTCTGCCACGGTCACTGCTCGTAGATCTGCTCCCACAGCACTGCCCCATCCCCTGTGCCAGGGTGGTGAGCTCAGCCCTGTGTCTTGCAGGTTAGTGCCTTTGGGTTCATGACACCGGGCTACCGGGCGTACTCAGATCACTACTTCGACCGTGGGCACAAGGAGGTGCAGTTCTTCATCAACCATGACCTGAGGATGGAGATGCAGCTGTGGCAGCGACTGCAGAGCAGCGGGATCCTGTGGCTCTACACCGGCTCAGAGGGGACGTGATGCTGTCGGGGGGCTGGGTGTGCTGCTGGGACCTGTGAGTGAGGAGCTGGGACTCGAGCAGAGTTTGTGATGAGTTTTTCCAGGCCCTGCACAGCTCTGCTGTGGGGTAAAATTAATGAATCACGTGAATCTGAGTGCGGGAGAAATAGGAATTGAACCTGTCCCTACCTGGAGAATGGGAGTGGTGAAACACCCAGGGAGAATCTGGTGCTGTGACTCCATGGGGGGCTGCTGTGTGTGCAAGGGGCTCATGGGTGAGTCCCTAATGTGGTTGTATAGTGGCATCTCCTGCTGGGGCTGCCTCCTGCCCATCTGGGGGGCTCTGCAATGCCTCTACCCTGGGGAGGGATTTGTAGCATCCTCTGTTTGTTGCCATAGCCCTGAGGCGGCAGCCCCTGTCCACATCCCCCATTCTGTGGCTGGGAGGGCCCCTGGCGCCCTTCGTGCCCGTCACTCCTGCTGCTCTCCCGGGGGGCTCTGCCCCCATCCCTGTCTCTCCCCAGCATCACAGAGCTTTTTCTAGGCCAGTGCCCAGTTCAGGCATGAATAAACCAGCGGCGTTGCATAACTGGGGCTGCAGATTTACACCGGATGGCTGCCCGAGCCCTGCTGCTGCATGGCACCCAGGGTCCCCAGGCCCAGGGCAACTGCCTGCCTGCCACAACCCTGCCCCATCCCTGCAGGCAGATGGAGCAGAGCAGCGCAGCAGTCACTCGCCGGCTGTGCCAAGCTCCCCAATTAAGGAGCCTCCCTCCCGCCGTGGATTAGCCAGGATCAGTGGAGCCCGAGAGCGGGCAGAGCTGCTCGGTGGGAAGGAGGTCAGGAGGGCCGGGTGCTTTTGGCAGCCGCTGTGCAGAGATTGTGGCTCAAGCTGGTGTCTGCCCAGCAGGGATTAGCTGCAGCCCCAGACAAAGTGGCCGGGTGGCTGGAGGGGACGATCCCAGTTCCCATCCCACGCCGAGCATCCAACACGACGCCTGGGTTATTTCGACCACAGCCACCCCACAGCCAGAAGGCTCCATCGGGATGGGCTGTGGGTGCCTGCTGCAAGCTGCCCGCCCACCCATGGGTATGTTCTGCCTTGTGGTGACTCAGCTGTGCCAGCTCAGCAGCGCACGGAGCAGGGCCATGGGAACAGCCCCGCAAGGCCACCACCTCCCCATGGCACCCTCTGCCCTCTGTCACCTCCCCACCCCACAACATCCCCATCCCTGGAGCCCAAAGCTCCATCCCAGCATGATGCACAGGGGACATGTGGGTGTCCCGGGTCTGCGCTGAGCCAGAGCATTGGGACATGGCCTGCACATGGCTGGGGCAGTGGGGGGGGGCGTGGGTGTGCTCGTACTGGGGGGCAGCAGTAGCACGAAGGAGCGAGCTGGTTCCTGATGATGGAGGAATGTTTATTCCCTGTGAAGTCTGCAGTTCTTCCAGCCCTGTATCTATTTGCGGCAACGTGACATGTGCGGCGTGGTGTTCTTTGCAAGCTTGAAGTCTTGTAAAAAATTAATTGTTGTATGCAAAATTTGGCTTCAAATTTTAAAAGCATCAGTCAGCCCTGTACTGAAAGCTGTGTGTGCTGCTCCCCAAGGAGTGCAGACCCAAAGGGACATCTGTCGCGGGTCCCTGCACCCAGCTGCCTCCTGCTGACTGAGTGTCCCTGCAGGGTTGCAGGGATGGTGTGGTGCACCCACGTTTTGGGGGTGCAGCCCCACGTGCGGGGGCTGCAGCGTTGAGCTCACGAGGCTGAGCTGTGCTGTGTTTATAATCCCAGCCCAAAGGGTCACCCACTGAGTGGGGATATGTGGGGTGCTGCTCCCCTGCCAGGGATTGGGGGCCTCGGGTCCTGGGGGTGATGCTGGGACAGGTGGAGATGGAGGATACAGGGGCAGAGCGTCCCCTGTCCCGACCCACGTTATCACATCAGCCCCATCCCATCCCACCCCCCCCATCCCACCCCATCCCATCCCGGCAGACGGTACAGCACTATCGTAGCTCCGCGGGGCCGACGTTGCCTTCACCGACCGTGGGGTGGGGGCTGCCCCGTGGGGTCCCCCTCTCCGAAGACGGGCTGGGGGTATCTCCCGTCGGGGCCGCGCGGGGGCGGCGGAGGCGCGATCCCAGCGCTGCGGACCGAGGGCCGCCACCTGCCGCCCCCTCCTCTCTCCTCCCCTCCCCTCCCCATCCCGCTCGGCGGCGGCGCGGCCCCTCCCCGGGGCACGGGGCGCGGGGCCGCGGCGGCCGCCATGGAGGAGGAGCCGCCGCCGCCGCCGTGCCCAGCGCCGGGCCAGCGGCAGCCGGCGGCCGTGAGGCTCCCGCCGCACCATGGGCCGCCTCGCCGCCGCCGCTGCCATGTCGGCCGCCTTCCTCAGTCCCAGCCTCGCCTTCAGCTCCCACTTCGATCCCGGTGAGTGCCGCAGCCCCTCGGGCCCGAAGGCACAGGGAGCCGCGCTTCGCTCCGCTCCGCACCGCTCCGCACCGCCCCGCACCGCCGCAGCCCCTCCGCATCTCCCGGCGAGCGGCCCCGCTTTTCCCTTCCCACTCCCTCGACCCCTCGTAGCGGTCCCCGCATCGCTCCACGGCCAACCCCCCAGCTCCCTCCCCCTTCGCCCCCGGTTCCCCGTTCTTTCTGCAGCTCCGTCCTCGCAGCCCCGCATCGCCTCTCCGCGGGTTCGGAGCCGTTCCAGTGCGGGGAACGGAGCTCGAGCGCGGCTCCGCGCCTCCAAATGTCACCGTGCGCTGCGGGAGCCGCTCCGCATCGGGCGCCGTTTTGTCCCCCGCTGAGGAATCGCGGAACCGCGCCGCCTCCGGGGGCATTTGTTTGTCTGATTGAAAAATAATGTCGGCAGAAGCGGTGAGAACGGAGCGGAAAGGGGGGCGGGGGGGGGGGACGCTGCCCGGGGCCGCCGCGGAGGAGCGGGGCCGGGGGTACCGGAGGCGTGCGGGGCTGCGTGCGGGGCTGCCGTTATGTAAGCGCGGCGGCACGGTTTCGGTTGCGCCGCATCTGCAGGAAGCGGCCGCGCACGGGCGCGGAGCGGCGTTGGCTTTTGTGTGGGTTTTTGGGGCCGTTTGCAGCGCGTTCCAGCTGGATGGGGAGGGGGGGGAGACCGGCAGCTCTGGCCTCGGCGTGGGCTGCGTGTGCCACGGGGATGGCAGCGTGTGTGTGTGTGTGTGTGTGTGTGTGTGGATGGCACGCGCGTCCCCGGGAGCTGATGGTGGGGTTGGTGCGGTGACCCACAGCAGAGCATCCTTGCGGGGTGGCAGCGCGTTGGCACGGTCCCTTTGTCACTGAAGCGGGGGAAGCCGACCCAGCGCTGCCCTGGCGGGACGCGGTCGCTGCGTGGCTCTGGATGTCACTGTCACATCGCGTGTCCCTTCTCCTCTGTGCGGTGACATCGCTCCGTTTGCTGGAGCCGGCTCTGGAGGGGCTGTAAATGCGGACCGGCCGGGATTTACCCACACGGAGCTCTGTTGGTTCGCAGCCTGCTCGGTATTGATCCGCGTTAGGAAGGAAACCTCTTTATTTGCATCTTAAATGCGGCAGCGCTGGGAATGGAGACGTGTTTACCACTCTCAGCCTTCGGTATAATTTCTCTCCGGGTTTTCGCCGAGCGCCCAATTTGCCATGCTAATCCCGTCAACCTGGGGATTTGCAGGGCACGGTTGCTTTCAGCATCCTTCTGCAGGAAGGTTTTCCGTCGCTGCCGATCGCCATGCTGCCGTGCTCCCCAATCCGGGCTCTGCTGCCGCTGACACCCACGGTTACTGTCAGGGAAAGAAATTAGAGGGGGGAAAATGTATTCTCTGTTTCACGGGCTTGTTGATCCCGTTCGGTTGGCGGCACCGTCTGCGCGGCACCTCCCGCGCCAGCCCCATTTCCCTGCTGTTTGCCGGAGACACGGAGCAGGAGGAACCGCAGGGACGGCGTGGGGACAGCGGTGACTCTGGGGGTAGAGGAACTGTCCCCTGCTCCACGCACAGCTTGTGTTTTCGGTGAGGTTGGTGGCCCTTGTGTGAGATGTGCTCATGCCGGGCTGTGCTGGGTGGAGAGCTGCTGCCATCGTGTCCCTGCGGAGGTGGCTGGGGGCGGGGGGATCCCGCTCCTCTCTTCTCTGGGTTTCCAGGCCTGGGGGTGATCATGGCTGGAGCCAGGCTGTGCTGTGAGGAAGGACATCTCTGCAGCCCCTCTGCCTCCAAGGCCTCGCTGTGTCCCACTGCACAGTTGTTGGCTTTAGGGCCAGCGGTGCTCACGATGATGTGAGGCTGTGTCTCCTCCGGCCGGGGTTGGGGTCGGTGCTGCCCTGGCTCCCAACCTGGATTTCCCCATCTCAGCCTGCAGAGCGCATTTTGAATTTGTGAGAAATGTCCTCTCTTCCCTTACCCATATTTCTCCTTCCCTTTTTCTTTTCGAGCAGCACGGTGATGGTTTTTGGACGATGGAGATGCTGCAGGCAGCAGGGCTTTGCTTGGCGTGTTGGGGGCAGCAGGGTGCTGCTGTGGGGCTGCAGCTTTGGGCAGCAGTGGGACTGAGCTCAGGGTGCTCCATGCCTGCTGGTGCTGCCCGTGCCATCACTGTCCCTTGGCCGTGTTCTGGTGCCACCTGCATGGCCCTTCCTGGGAGCTGGCTGTGGGGCAGTGATGGGACCTCTCCACCGCACCGTGGTTGTGGGTCCAGCTGGCACATGCTGCGTCCCCCTGCCCCAATCCCTGTGCCACAAGTGCCTTGCATTGCTGGGCAGTGCTGGCAGGGGTTTACAATGGGGAACAGCGGCACAGGGACCGGAACCCCAGAGCTCACAAGGGGTGAAGGGCAGCAGGGTGGGCGCAAAGGTCAGATTTGGGGCAGGGAGTGGGGAACGTGGAATGGAGGTGGCTGCAGTGGGGGAAGCGTAACACCCGGCAGCGCGTGGGAAGCTGCCTCGCTCACACCTCACCGCCCAGATCCTACAAGGAGCTGCCGGCGCGTGGAAGGTGTCAGCACGGGGCCTGTCTGTCTGTCCAGGCATGGAGGTGGGAGTTCCAGGGGGGTGATAGGGAGGTGGGGGGGCTCCCAACTGGGCTGCTGCTGGCGATGGCGTTGGTGCAGCTCTGCAGTGCTGCAGGGCAGCTGGGCCCCGCTGCAGGAGGATGGGATCGGCACCAGCATCGCTCCCCCGGGGGTGCCCGCCTGCTCCCCCCCCTTCTCCCCTCCTTCCTTCTCTTTGCTCCCCCCTCTCCGTGCACACGGGTGATTGCGTTTTGGATGGCGATACTGATCCCTGTCAAAGCCAATTAGGAGAAATTAATATGCCAGGGTTGAAAGGGCTCAGATCTCTCGGGAGGGGTGGGGTGGTGACTCACGGGCTCCCTGCCCAGTTCTGCCTGCCCGCCCGTGGGACGCGGGGTGCCCCACAGCTCCTGTCTTGGCACTGGGCCGTGGGGCAGTGCTGGTATCTGCACTGTACTGTCTGGAGAGCAGTGCCATGGCCGTCCCATGGGCACAGTACTGCGCCCGGCCAGGAGCTGCCCAGTGCTGGGTTCCTCCCTGTCCCGTGGGCTGTTGGAGCACAGGCTGTCATCTTCCAGTGTTTCTCAGTTGGAAATCCCCACTTAGTTGGGTTCCTCCTGCATTGGGTCGCAGTGGGCGCTGGGTGATGCTCATCCTGTGATGATGTTCCTCCATGCAGCTCCAGCAGCATGCCACAAGCCTAGGAGCCATGGCCATTAGGTGGGGGTCCCAGCCATGTGCCATCCCATCTCTGCACTCTGGGGAGAGCATGGGGGCTCAGCACCAGGGAAGGACAGGAGCTGGAGCCTGGATCAGGCTGGGGTCCCCTGTGGATGAGAAACCCCATTGGGAGCCAGGGGGTTGGTCCTGGGATCCTGCCCATGGTCAGACGATGTTGTTCCCACCTCCTGGGCCTGTGATTGGTATAAATGATTGCCTTAAAGGCTTGAGCAGCCCCTGTGAAGCCCATGCCAGGCCCCTTACCCACTGCAAGTTGGGACCGTGAGGGCTTTGTCCTGAAAGGCAGCCCCAAGGAGGGGGTGGGCTGAGGGCATGGGGTGCTGGGGCTGGCTGAGAGGACGGGGCCGTGCTGGGCAGTGCAGGGAGGGGTTGGCCACTGGAGGAAGCAGCAGCAGGTTCAGGATTTCCTGCAAGCGACTGTCCCTGGGACGAGGGGAGCGAGCGGCGGTGGCTGGAGGCCCTGCTTCCCGTCCCTTCCCCTCTAGCAGGGCCATTGCTGCTGACTCCAATGCCACCACTGTTGTTTTAATGCTGGAGCGAAGGGAAGCTCCGGCGTGGCACGCGCTGTAAGTGGGGCAGCTCTCTGCAGGGTGCAGCATGGCTGGGCTGTTGGGGGGCACGGGGGACTCTGGGGTGCAGGGGTGAGTGCTTGCCAAGGGTGGGCTGCACACCCCTGGTCAGTGCCAGGCAATCCTCCTGCTCAAAGCACCCCTGATGGCACCACGCTGCGGTGCGGGGCAGCGCGAGGCACAGAGCTGCCGCCTGGGGGGTGACGTCCCTCGGGAGGGCTGTGGTGATGCTTTCAGGGCAGCAGCTTCAGAAAGTCCCCGAGGTCTCAAAGCGTGGGTGCGAGATGGGGGTGCTGCGCACTTGGGGATGGATGGACAGCCCCAGTGCTGGCACCATAACAGCTTCCTAAAATCCTCTCCCCACCGATTCTCAGGGTCTCTTCCCCTCTGCTTGCCTTGTCCAGCCTGGCATGGGGCTGTTCGGAGGCTGTGCAAAGGGACTGTGGTGGGTGCCACGCCGTCCAGCTCTCTGAAATTGGGGCAGGCAAAGGGCAGCTCCCAAGGCCGGGCGCACCGCAGCGATGGAGCTTTAAGGCAGTTGCAGAGAGCGGCAGGAAGGGGGTGGGCAGGGACCCTCCTGTTTGCCACAGCTGTCAGCGTCCTGGGACATCGGGGCTGCCCGGTGCGGCGCCGGTTTGAGGCGTGTGTGGCTGCGCTCGGTGCTCGCCTCTCTCACCGCTTGTTTTCGGAGCCGAGGCTTCTTGTTTCATAACGTCGCTGAACGTTTCTGATAAAAATAGGCTGCCCCCCTCCACGCGGCTTCTCTCCCGCCGTTACGTAAATGCTGCTTCACCGGCTGCTGGGAGCCTTGTTCTGGCCGTGCCCGTGGTGCTGTGCTCACAGCTCTGTGCCGGCGGTGCCGCGCTCCCGGCGCTGAGTGCCGTGGGTTGGTGTGCACGGTGGTGATGAGCTGATGGTTTGGTGATCTTAGTGGTGTTTTCTGGTTGGTGTGCACGGTGGTGATGAGCTGATGGTTGGGTTTGGTGATCTTAGTGGTGTTTTCTGGTTCTGCTGTGCCATGGCCACGGTGCTGTGCCCATAGCGCCCGTGGTGCTGTGTACATGGTGCCGTGCCTGTAGTGCCCATGGTTCTGTGCCCCTGGTGCCACGTTCAAGGTGCTGTGTCCATGGTGCCCGTGGGGCTGTGTCCAAGCTGCTGTGCCTGTAGTTTCCATGGTGTTGTGCTCGCAGTGCCCATGGTGCCATGCTCAAGGTGCCCATGGTGCTGTGTTCATGGTGCCGTGCCCATGGCTCTGTGCCCGTAGCACTGGCCATAGTGCCATGCCCTGAAGGCCGCAGCATCCCACCCTCCCAGCACAGGGCACCAGTCCATGCTCTCCTCCTTGGGAGCCACACAGGCACCAATTCACCTCCCCGTGGCACGAGGAGCCCGTGCTGCGTTCTGTTGCTGGGATTTGGCTCCAGCCGTGGCTGTGGTTTGCTGCGATGGCACTGCGTGTCCCTGCTGGTGTGGGATGGAGGGAGGCTTCAGACCCAATTTAAGCTCCAACCAAGAGAATTCAATTGAAATAATGAGTTATTATTTTTTTTTAATATATTATTTTCTCAGGAAAGCAAAGGGAAAATTGTCCATGTCTGGCTGCTCCCTACCCACCACGCTGCCTGCAGCAGGAGGGCTGTGCTGGAGGAACTTGGCTTTTTGTCTCTCACCAGGCTGATGCTCGGTGTGTGCACAGTGCTGCACTTATTACAGCCCACGTTTTCATTCCACCACGTTACAAAATGACGGGTGATCTTTTTTTTTTTTTTCCTTCTTCTTCTTTTTTTTTATTTTAATTTTCCATCAAATTATTGTTATTATTTTTTACTGCTAATCCATCCCGAGGTGATAAAACCCGAACTAAGAGGCGAGAATCGATCCTTTCAGAACACTTCAGTGTCGGTTAAATTGGCCCCTGTGAACAGACATGCAGGGAGAGCAGATGAAAGTGGCATGCAGTGCGTTGGAAACGAGCCCCTCATGGGTGCTCATGGCACCTGATGGGCTCTGTGCAGTGCTGCTGGGTGATGCTGGCCGTGCCTCAGTTTCCCTCTGGAGTTGTGTGGAGCAGCCTCGTGTTTTCGTGTTAAATGGCAGCGGATGGTTTCTTGCTGCTTGGCTGCGTATGGGTGAGCAGCGCGCTCATCCTTTGAGGTGTAAAATTGCTTTCCTGGAAGCTGCCCATGGATCCAGGCCCTTCATCTCGCCGGGGATTTGTAATGTTACTAGGACTGTGCTTGCGCTGGGAGAGCGGCTGAGAGTGCTGAGCCTGCGGTGGGATGCTGTGCTGGGTCCAGTGTGTGTGCATCCTGCCCCAGTCCTGTCCCAGACCTTCTTTCTACCCAAACATGGCCCTGCACCCTGCCCAAACTCACACCCAGCTCTGAACCCTGCACCGGGCACCCTTCCCAAACCCAGCCCTGCGCCCTGCCCAAACTAAACCCCTGCACCCTGCCCGAACCCACACCCAGCCCTACACCGTGCCCAGACCCAGCTTTGCATCATGTCCAGACTCAGCCCTACGCTGTGCCCAAACCCAGCTTTGTATCGTGCCCAAACCCAGCCCCATGCCCTCCCTGAGCCCGTCCTCTCCCACCTGGCCTCCCATCGCTGTCCTCACTGGGGGCAATGCAGGAGGATGGGAGCGCTCCCCGCTTTGTCCCACTCCTCTGCACATAGCTGCATAGGGACCCCAGGTCAATTGGGGGTCCGGACACAGTGAGACTCCCTCCATCCTGCAGGGAGAAAGTCTGTGATCCTGCACCCACCAGATTCATGGGTGTAAGGGGGGGAAACTGAGGCACAGTTGGGCAGGTTGCGGCAGGAGCTGTAGCAAAGGGCTCGGGGGTGGTCTCGGGTGTGTGATCGAGCAAGTGGGCAGGACCTGCTCCTGCCGATCCATTTGGCCATGCGGAGCCTTGCGGGGAGCCCCGGGCTCTCCCCTTCCGCACACGTCAGCCCCACTCCTTGCCCGTTGCCGCCGGGCAGAGCGAGCGGCGGCCGTGGCACATCCCAGCGGCGGGGGATGGCTGGAGGAGCGGCTGCAGGCACTCAGCAAACGTGAGTCAGCAAAGGAGCCGGGAAGGGCTGAGCCCATCCCTCGCTGCGGGGCTGTGGGGTTGTAGCCTTTCCCGGGTGCCTTTTAGGAAAAGGATTTTAGGGGATGCGTCCCTGAGCTGGGTGAGCAATGCAACAGGATGTGGGGTGTGGGCAGGTGGACCCCGCTGTGCTCAGCGTCTCTGTGCTCTCTGCTTTACCATTCTGATCTCGTTTGCAGGGTCAGGTGCCACCCTGGGGCTCTTCTGAATCCCACCCCTGCCCCCCAGCATGGGAATGGAGCATGGTGTCTCCTGGCTTGCAGGCAGTGTAGGAGCATCATTGCTCCCCCAGCTCCGGGGCTGGTGCAGCAGCTCCTGCTGAGGGATGCACCGAGCTGGCCGTGCTCAGTGTGACCCCGTGGTGAGAGCAGTTTGTTGTGGGGGAAGCGCTGCGGAGCTGCTGGGGGGGGGGATCCAACGGTGGGGGCTGCGGTGGGTTCACGGTGATGCCAAAAGAGCTGCATGGAGCTCCAAGCCCTCAAATGGTGGTGACACCCCTCCTTGCACCAGCGGTGGTGCAGGTGGGGAAACTGAGGCAGAACACACTGTTTTGGAAATGGGTTCATCCGAAAAGCTCCATTTCCTGCACCGCGGCCTTGGGCGGCTCAGCTGACAGTCCCTGCTGGAACGGCTTCTGTCGCCGCGCTCTGCTCCCGTCGGCATTCAAAAGGCTCTTTTCAGTGAGTCATTTTCTCTCTTGCTGTCCCACTATCCAAGGAAAATGGTGACATTCGCTGTACAAAGTGTGTTCACCATGGAAACCGGCTGCAAGCAGCAAGAATGCCACCCCCGGCTCCTCCCCGGTTCGGCTGCGCATCGCTGAGCCTCAGAAGATGGCTCTGGAGCTGCTGCGCCAGCAGCGGCCGCGTTCTGTGCGGTGCGGGGCCCGAGGTGCTCCGTGCCCCCGAGCGGGGATCCCCAGCCCTCCTGTCCTTCAGGTGCCCTCCTCAAGGACACGCCAGCGCGGGGGCAGAGCTGGCAGCGCGGTGCCCAGCGTGGCTTTGCATACCGGCACCTGGGGTGGGAGAGGCTTGGTGATGGCGCAGCCCCCATCGTGTGTCTGCACGCGTGGTGCGTGGCAGTGGTGCTGGGCTGGGCTTTGGGAAAGAGATGCACGGGTGATGGCACTGTGCCCCAATCTCTCGGTGCAACAGGGAAGGCGCGGTGCGGCGGCTCTGGGTGCAGCTCCATGCAGTGGATGGGTGCGTGGGGGCTCACAGTGGGGCGGGGGTCTCTGTGCAGCACTGTCGTGGCAGCACTGTGGCCTTCCTGCTTCCTTGCGCCACCACGTGCTGGTTATCTGGGGAGGCTCTGGGCAGAACAGTAATGCGGCAGCTGCTGCCTGTGGTGGGGGCTCACAAGTGAGGGGCTGCGGTGCAGGATGGCCCCGTGGGGCGGTGGGCGAGGGGATATGGGATGGAGATGCACGTTACCTTGCTGGCAGCATCCCTGGCCCTGAACCCAGTGGGATGTGGTTTGGGGATACGGTGCGCCCGATGGTGACAGCACAGTGGGGGCACAGCAGTGGGGGGGGCATGTGTGCAAAATCCCTGCGTGCAACCCCCTGGCAGCCCCCTGCACCGCAGCCCTATCTGCTCCCCTTACCCTGCACCCCTATGTCCCCACAGACGGCACCCCCCTTAGCGAGCTCTCCTGGTCCTCCTCGCTGGCTGTCGTGGCCGTTTCCTTCTCCGGGCTCTTCACCTTCATCTTCCTCATGTTGGCCTGCCTGTGCTGCAAGAAGGGAGATATCGGCTTCAAGGTGAGGGCCGGGCACCCAGCATGGGCAGGGGGCTGCAGCTCCCACTGGGGTCTCCCGGTGCCGTGTCACTGCCTGTGGGACGTGCCTTTTGCTCAGTGGCGGGGGGCTCAGCCTTACCCATCGCCCCGGGCCGGGCCACGGCATGGTTAAGGGCCCCGGCGGTCCCACCCGCACGCCCCCGGGGTGGGAGGCACCCTGACCTCACAGGCACAGAATGTGCCGAGAAACAGTTTTCCCTAATTGCTGGGATTTTTGTGGAGGCTCGCGGCGCCCGCGGCGGGGAGGGGTCAGGCAGAGGGGACACGCCGGGTCGTTGTATAACCGTCCCACACCGGAGCACCTCGAGCAGGGGAACAATGAGCCCCCTCGAGCCCCCGCGGCAGCTATATAGGGCCGTGGAGCTGCAGCCCGGCTCTGGCAGTGCCCGCGGGGTCGCGGCGCGCAGCACCATGAGCGGCGGCTGCGCCGGGGCAGCACCATGCTCACCATCACCTACCTGCTCGCCCAGGCGGCTTTCAGGAGCCGGGGGCTGGTGGGGCATCAGTGCCAGGTATGGGCACGGCCCGGGGGGCTCGGTGATGCGCTATGCGGTGCGGGTGGCTGCGCTGGGGGGCGCGGGGCAGGCTGCAGGGAGCCCGCAGGGTCAGTTGTCTCTGCTCCGTGTGTGTCCCCCTGCCGTGCGCTTCCCTCCGCCCCGGCCCAGGAGTTTGAGAACGCCGAGGGGGACGACTACGTGACGGAGTTCTCGGCCCAGGGCTCGCCCGCCCCGCAGCATGGCCCCGAGGTGTACGTCCTGCCCCTCACCGAGGTCTCGCTGCCCATGGCCAAGCAGCCGGGGCGCTCAGGTAAGCTGCCTGGGGGGGAGGTGGGGGGTGGGAGGCACTGGGCACTGTGGGACCCCCGTGCACCCCGGGGCAGAGGTGGAGTGGGGCCAGGAGGGGTGATCACAGCCCTGTGCCAGGCTTAGCTGAAGCAACTTCCGAAGGGGTGACAGGAGGCTGAGGTCCCTCGAGCAGCGCCGTCCTTCTGCACAAGGATGGTTTGTCCCCCTGCGTGGCACCAAGGGGAGCAGTGTGCATCCCTCTGGAGTGTGCTGGGACATAGAATCATTGAGGTTGGAAGAGAGCGCTAAGATCAACCATCAGCCCATCCCCACCGTGCCCACTGAACCGTCCTGTAGGGTTTTCTTTCCCATGGCACCCACCAGCCCCAGCCCTGCGTAAACAAGGCAGAGAGTGGGAGAGGAATCTGGGGGGGGGGAGGGGGGCACTGTGCCACAGCCCCCTTGCTCCCATTGTTGCTCTCTCCAGCTCAGAGAATAGCAGCAGTGTGACAGGGTTGGGGCGGCGTGACGCAGCCCAACAATGGCTCCATTGCTGCACCCCTTGGCATGGGTGCACGAGGGGCAGGACTTGTGCTGGGAGGGGGCCGGGACTGTGGCTAAATGCCAGAGCTCCAGTTCGGCTCCATTCTGCTCTCCCCATCTCTGGGGAGGAGAAGGGGCAGAGAGCAGCTCCCCTCTGCCTTGCTTGGGGACACCCCATGTCCCCACACCAGCACAGCCACACCAGGATGCTCGGTGGGAAGGATGTGGGGTGCCTGGGGATGCCCCCCCCACTGCTGACAGAGCATCCCAGGACAGCGTGGGGTGGCACAGCAGGAAGGACTCCAGGGCTCGGCTGGAATCGGCGGGTAACTCGGGTGGGTTGGGGGTGCGGGTGGGCACATGAGCGCACAGGCAGCTGGATGTGTTCTGTTACAGTGCAGCTCCTCAAGTCTGCAGACCTTGGGAGGCAGAGCCTGCTGTACCTGAAGGAGATTGGGCATGGATGGTTTGGCAAGGTGAGCACGGGGCATCGGGGTGTTGGGATACTGGGGCAGGGTGCGTGCAGGATCTGGTCCCCCTGGGGCTGCTCCAGCTCTTGTGCCCCATTGGGATGTGGGTTGCAGGGGTCACTGTGTCCCCCACTGGGAGCAAGGTGAGGTGAGGATGGATAGATGGGGACGTGGCTGTCTCTTGCCCCCAGGTATTCCTGGGGGAGGTGAACTCAGGCATCAGCAGCACGCAGGTGGTGGTGAAGGAGCTGAAGGCCAGTGCCAGCGTGCAGGACCAGATGCAGTTCCTGGAGGAAGCACAGCCCTACAGGTAGGGCCAGGGGTGCTCCTGAACTGGGACAAGCTGCTGGTATGGGGGGTGCTTGTGGATGGAGGCCGTCCCCAGGCTGTGGGCTGTCCCCTCTGGCTGAGTTCTCTGGGCTGCAGCTCAGCTCTGTCCTGGGGCTTGCTGGCTGCAGGATGCTGCTGGTGTCTGGCCCTGCCTGCAGTGAGGTCATGAGTATGGGGGGGGGCACAGAACTGCTCCATGCCCCATAAGAGCTGAACAAATGCCCCTTTGTGGTGTGCACTGGGGTGCTGGGACGCGCTGGTACCCGCTCACAGCCGCTCCCGGCTGCCCCCGCGCTGTGGAGGAGGCACCAGGGATGCTCCCCCCGTGGTGCCAGCGTGCCCCTCGCTCTGCCCCACAGGGCCCTCCAGCACACCAACCTGCTGCAGTGCCTGGCCCAGTGCGCCGAGGTCACCCCCTACCTGCTGGTGATGGAGTTCTGCCCGCTGGTGAGTGCCATAGCCCTATAAGCTGAGGCTTTAGGGTGCTATGGGGTAGCACATGGCACTGCTGTGCCATGCCTAGCACATTTCGGACCTGGGACCCGCTGGGTGCGGGAGGGGACTGTGGTGACAGTGGCACCATCCTGCAGGGTGACCTGAAGGGATACCTGCGGAGCTGCCGGGGGGCTGACTCCATGGCCCCAGACCCTCTCACTCTGCAGAGGATGGCATGCGAGGTGGCCTGCGGCGTGCTGCACCTGCACAGGAACAACTACATCCACAGGTAAGGCTGGGAGTGCAGGGGGCGGGGGGAGTGGGCTGAGCAACCCCCAGGCTGTGCCCACCCCACCTTGCTCCTCCTGCCCAACAATATCCTGGTGCTGAGTGAGTTGCACACAGAGACTCCAGCATCAGTGATTTTGTTGAGGAAGGGGAGTGCTGCATCGGGGCCGCCGGACCTTCCCAGCCCAAGCTGGGCTGCTTGGGAGCGTTGCAGTGGGGGGAAGTGGGGTCTGGCAGTGCAGGGGAGGGGTTTCCCGTGGGCATCCCGCCCTTGGTGCACCCAGGGTCTCCCCACATGCATCTACACTGTCCTAATGTGCATCCCATCTGTGCGCACCCCTCCGGGGCTATGGGAGCCCAGCCATGCCTAGCTGCACGGGTAGGAAGTGCCAGGGCTCACGTTGCTGGGGAAACCTGCTTTCCGCTTGGCTCAGCGCTTGACGGATGGATGGACGGACAGAGGCGCAGCTGGAACGCTGTGCAAGAATTCCTGCTGTGCGTTGGGTGGTTGGTGATTGGCACGCCCAGCATTCTGCTGCAGCACAACCCTCCTGCTCCCAGCACTGGCAGCAGTGCTGCTGGGGGTGCCCAAGTGCGGTCCTCGGGCCCTGGGTGCCCTGTGCCCCCTGTGGGGGTGGTGACAGCACTGGGGTTTGCTTGGCAGTGACCTGGCCCTGCGGAACTGCTTACTCACAGCCGACCTGACCGTCAAGATTGGGGACTACGGACTCTCACACTGCAAGTACAAAGTAAGGCTGGTTAGAGTGAGGAGGGGGTTGCGCTTGGGACCCCCACAGTATCGAGTCTGGGGGAGCTCAGGGATGTGCTGCGCACACGTATGGCTCTGCCTGTAACTGTGCACGCACATCCCCGAACACCGCGCTGTACCCTTCCCTTCCCTTCCCTTCCCTTCCCTTCCCTTCCCTTCCCTTCCCTTCCCTTCCCTTCCCTTCCCTTCCCTTCCCTTCCCTTCCCTTCCCTTCCCTTCCCTTCCCTTCCCTTCCCTTCCCTTCCCTTCCCTTCCCTTCCCTTCCCTTCCCTTCCCTTCCCTTCCCTTCCCTTCCCTTCCCTTCCCTTCCCTTCCCTTCCCTTCCCTTCCCTTCCCTTCCCTTCCTCACAGGCTTTGCTGGGGCATTGAGTGGGTACTGGGAGGTGTGAGCCTGGAGGAACAGCGTGATGGGGCTGGGGATGTGGGGTGGTGGTGCAGTGAGGCTGGGGAGAGTGCTGGCAGCGGGCGGTGCTGTGCCCTGTCCTTTACGTGTCGTTTTGACGTTCTCTTCTCGTACTGACCCTGCATACTTGGCAGGACGACTACTTTGTGACGGCCGACCAGCTGTGGGTGCCGCTGCGCTGGATTGCGCCCGAGCTCATCGATGAGGTGCACGGCAACCTGCTTGTCGTGGACCAGACCAAGGCCAGCAACGTCTGGTGAGCAGGGCGGGGGGCACGGCGGGTGTGTGGTGTCTGCATGCCGGCCGGTGGCAGGCTGGGGGTTTCCCTATGCCCCCAGCATCGTGCCGTTCCTTCCCAGGTCACTGGGTGTCACCATCTGGGAGCTGTTTGAGCTGGGCAGCCAGCCCTACGACCACTACTCCGACCGGCAGGTGCTTGCCTACGCCATCAAGGAGCAGCAGCTGAAGCTGCCCAAGCCCCAGTTGAAGCTGTCGCTGGCGGAGCGCTGGTGAGGAGCTCTCCCTGTCCCCGTGTGGGTGCGCAGCCATGGCTCTGGCATGGGAGCGGGCACGGCGCTGAGCCCTGCTCCTTATTGCTGCAGGTATGAAGTGATGCAGTTCTGCTGGCTGCAGCCCGAGCAACGCCCGACAGCTGAGGAGGTGCATCTGCTGCTCTCCTACCTCTGCGCCAAGGGTGCGACGGAGGCAGAGGAGGAGTTCGAGAAGCGCTGGAACTCCATGAAGCCCAACGGCAGCGCCAGTGGCAGCCACCACGGCACCGAGCTCTCCTCCTTCCCTCTGCTGGAGCACTTCTCGGCCGACGGCTTCCCCTCGGACGGGGACGACATCCTCACCGTGATGGAGACCAGCCACGGCCTCAACTTTGAGTACAAGTGGGAGCACACCAAGACCGAGCACTTCCAAGCACCCCTGGGCTCCCTCAGCCCCAGCAGCGCCGCACGTTACCATGAACTCTATTACCCAGCAGCATCTGCGGGGCACCTGAGCCTGGGGGTCTCACCGTCCTGCTATGAGTGCAAGCAGCAGGGCTGCCCCAGCCTGCCGCCACCCAGCATGGTGCCCATCCTGGGCGCACACAGCCCCTCGCTCGGCAGTGAATATTACATCCGCATCGAGGGCCCGGCTGAGGGCAGTGCTGAGATGGACTACGCCATGTGCTCCTACAGCCCCGAGGGTGAGCGTGGCTCCACGTCCTGCTGGAGAACCCAGGGCACGCGAGATGACTCGGACAGCAGCCCCACTGCATCGCTGAGCATGGAGCCGCTGCTGGGCCGTGCACCGGCAGGTGAGGGCTCGTGGGAGTGCGCCGAGTACTACCCCTATGCGGGGCAGGAGCAGCATGGCTATGTGCCATCCCCCGGCCCTGAGCGGTTCCTGCTGGATGAGGAGCATGCTGAGCCCAATGACAAGGACTGGCCCGTTCCCGGCTTCCAGCACAGTGTCTTCGCCGACCCACTGGGCGTCTCGCCCTCACTGAACTGTGCCTACAGCCCCCAGCGCTACAGGCAGCCTCCAGCACAGGGTGAAACCCATCCGGACTGCGTGACGCTGGAGCTGGGTGATGACAGCCCCCCTGGAGCTCCCATCCCAGCAGCCCCCCAGCAGCAACCCTGGGCCTCCAACAGCTCCTCCAACAACAACATTGGCAGTGGCAGCCCGGCCACCCGCGAGCCCGCCGACAGCTGGTGCTACCGCCGCATGATCACCTTCCGCGGGCTGATGGCCAAGCCGCTGGGCACTGTGCCACCGCGCACCCAGCCCCAGCTCGGAGGGTCTCCGCCGGGCATCGATTTCCGCCGCCCACGGCAGGAGCAGCCCCAGCCCCCCGGCTCCTCCCAGTGCCGCTCGCCCTCCCCGCAGAGCCAGGCCTGGCAGAGCCGTGACTCATCAGCCTCCGGCCGCTCGCAGGCAGCAGCGCTGGCTGGCGGCCCCGACGCGGCCCTGGAAGCCAGAGCTCAGCCGTGCCCACAGGATGCCCACCCGGCTGAGGGCATGGAGCGGAGCAGCCCTCCTCGCAGCCCCGCGCCCCACGGCACAGCTGGGACGGGCCCTGGGGAGGCCACCCTTATGGCCGGCACGGTGCCAAGCCCTGCTCCCACCAGGGAGCCCGGCATAGACGGTGCCCAGTCTGCGCTGGAGGGCCCTGAGACATTGGTGTCTGCAGAGGCGGCTGCCGAGAGCAGCGCGTGCCTCACCAGCGACGCAGAACGCACCCCAGACAAAACCTTCTCCAGCAGCAGCTTCCCTGGTGGCGACGATGGCAGCGATGAGGACACGGCAGAGCTGACTTCGGGAGTCTTCACCGACTTCTCCGGGGACTACATGGAGCGGGCAGACGTGGCGCCGGCATTCAAGTCCTTGCAGAAGCAGGTGGGAACACCGGACTCCCTGGAGTCGCTGGACATCCCCTCTACTGCCAGCTCCTGCGAGGTGTTCAGCCCCACCGCCTTCACGTCCGCCGGGCAGCCCAAGGCTGTGGACAGTGGCTACGACACAGAGAATAACGAGTCCCCTGAGTTCGTCCTCAAGGAGCCCCACGAGCCCCGTGAGCCCGAGGCCTTTGGCCAGATGGGGAAGCCACCCCCGGGGCTGCCAGGAGGGGACGGGGACAGCCCAGCCCCCGAAACGCGGCCCTCGGCATCCTTTGGTACTGAGCTGCATGGCCTCTCTGAGAAGAACCCCTACCGTGACTCTGCCTACTTCTCTGACTACGACACCGAAGCTGAGCGTGGCCCCAAGGACGAGGAGGACAGCGATGGCTCCGAGACCCCAGAGGCAGAGAAGGAGGGGCCCCAGCCCTACATGCAGGACATGGTGCAAGCTCCCGAGCTGGGGGAGGACACACTGCACCCCCCAGGAGCACCTGGCAGCCCCCCAGCAGCCCCCAGCACAGTGCTGGCAGCCGAAGCACTGGACATGGGGGTCTCTGTGGGGGACTGGCGGGGAGCAGAGACTGGTTGTCCCACGGTGCAGGAGCATGGCACTGAGCTCCCAGCACCAAGCAGCTCCCCATGCCCTGATGGTGATGTGCTGGGGGGCTCTGTGCCAACCAAGACTTTCTCCTTGTCCCCGGTGCCAGACAGTGAAGAACCAGTGCCGGGCGAAGGGACCCATGAGGCTGAGAGCATCCCTGGACTGGGAGAACATGTGGCTGGGGGTGAACAGACTATGCCCCCTGTGCCAGGCCTTGGGGCAGCGGGGCTGCCTCCAGAGGGCACCAGGGTGGGCATCACGCCTGGAGGGGATGCGCCCGGGGGTCCCAGCACGCTGCCATCAGGGGATGAGACATCGATGGGTATCTCCATGCTCCCATCCACCCCTGAGCGCCGAGAGGAGCCCGAGGAGGAGGAGGAGGACACAGAGGACAGTGATGAGTCGGATGAGGAGCTGCGCTGCTACAACATCCAGGAGCAGAGCGAGGAGAGCGAGGAGGAGCCGGCCGCCGTCCCCATTGTGGTGGCTGAGAGCCACAGTGGCAGGAACCTGCGCAGCCTGCTCAAGATGCCCAGCCTGCTCTCCGAGGCCTTCTGTGAGGACCTGGAGCGCAAGAAGAAGGCCGTGTCCTTCTATGACGATGTCACCATCTACCTCTTTGACCAGGTGAGCAGCCCCAGCAAGGCGAGGTGGGCACGCAGCGGTGGGCACGGTGTCCAATAATGGCATTACTTCCCATGGTGTCTCCTTTGTGTAGGAAAGCCCCACACGGGAGCTGGGCGAGCAGAGCTTCCCAGATGTCCCCGAGCCCTCGGCGCAGCCCCCAGCCAGCAGCAGCCCCACCAGCCCTGCCAGCCCCACGGAGAGGCTGAGCGCATCAGATGACTCCTCGGATGGCAACGCCTCAGAAGAGAGTAAGGGGGCTGTGGGGTCAGGGGGTGGCAGTGGGCTGACCCTAATGACGGGCTCAGCCCCCAGCCCTTTTTGCTCTGTGTTGCAGGTGGAGGCTTTGAGTGGGACGATGACTTTCCGCTCATGCCGGTGAAGCCATCCCTGATGTCCTCGCTGACGCCGGCAGAGCCTGACCCAGCCGTGCCCACGCTGGTGCCAACCCCAAAACAGGTGCTGCCCCTCCAGTTCTCCCGCTTCACAGTCTCTCCTGCCCCGGTGTCCCGCTTCTCCATCACCCACGTCTCCGACTCAGACATGGACTCCGTAGGAGGTGAGACCTCAAGCGGACCCCCCTGCCCCCCAAAGCACAGCTCTGTCCCAGTGCCCCCCACAGGCACCACCACCCCCAGGTGATTTTGTCCCTCTTGGTCCCCTGCTCACACCACCTCTCTGCTCCCTTCCAGGCAGCAGCGAAGATGGTGATCGGGAATAAGCCAGCGTGAGCCTCGCCTGCCTGCGCCCTCAGCACCGGCGCTGGCTCCAGGCACCGTGCTCTGTTTTTTAGACAGATGGGGTTGGAAGGAGTTTGGGGTGCTGCTGGCTGGAGCCGGGCACAGCCCAGGGTGAGGCGGTGTGTGCCAGCGGTGCGTGTGCGAGTGGATGGCTGCGTGTGTGTAAATAGACATATATATATATATAGACATATATATATATATAAAATTATAGCGTTTAAAGGGTAGTGCCCTGACCTTGCTAACATTTGCTCAGTCCCCCCTCATTGACGCCCCCCCCACCCCCACCCCACATTGGCTTTCTCCCCACGTGTGCTCCCCAAGGGGGCTTCTTTGTCCCCACCTGCACCTTGATGCCCCCCTGTATTCCCCCCCCATCCAAGGCTGGCAAAGCCTTTCAGCCGCTGGGGGGGCTCGGTTGGGGGGCTGCCCCCTGCTTTTAGCCAGGCCCTTCGAGGACCAGTCCCAGCCCTGCAGGGAACCCCGAAGCTTGAGGGGTTCCCCACCTCCCTGAGGCTTTTTGGGGGGGAGAGGGGGGCTGACCTGACTATTTTTGTATTTAAATAAAAAAAAACACACACACACACAAAAAAAAACCCCCACAAAACCAAAACTCGCTGTTGACAGAACTCACGTTGCCGCGGTTTTAAGTTATTGTTGCCAAAGAGATGTAAAGAGTTTGTGGAGGCATTCGGGGGGGTTGGGGGGGTCGTGGTTGGTTTGTTATTTTTTCTGTTGTTGTTGTTTTGTTGTTTTTGTTTGTTTTTTTTTTTTAAATTCATTTAAGGCTTAGGATAATTGTGCAATTCCAGCTCCCAGGAGGCTGTGGGACTAAGAGGAGCCTATGGGAACCTTGAGATCAGGGCTGTGTCCTTGGGGGCTGATAGACCAAACCCTGAGGTGAGGAATGCCCCCCACCCACCACCACAGCCCCGTGTCCTGCAGCCCGGGCTGGCTCCCGGGGGGGCCGGGGCACACGCACACACACACACACACACACACGTGTACAGCCATGGGGCTGCGTGCCCATGGGATGGGGCTGCTGCTGGAGGATGCGAGGGTGTTCTCTGGCTCCCATTGCACCCATCCAGCCTGCAGCTGGGCCGTGGCGTTTTAGGAGAAGGCTGCAGGAGGGGTGCCACCCCCTTAAAGGGAACAAGAGGTTCCCCCAGCCTCAGCCCCACAAACCAGGGTGGGAGGAGGGGGGGGGGCTGTGCCTCCCCACTGCGCACCCCACACCCTTCCCGACATAGCGAGCCCAATTCCTGCTTGATGGAAGTGTATGATTTCAGCTCCACCCCCAGCACAAGCGCTTTGCATTGCAGCGGGGGCCTCCTGACCCCTACACCTGCAGGGGCTGCTGGAGCCCCCCAGCCCAGGGTTTGGTCTATGGCAGAGGCAGCCGCCTCTGGAGGGCAGCACGAGAGCACAGCTGCGTCCCCCAGATATGATGATGATGATTTATTTATTTTTTTTTTTTTAAATAGAAGAGCTCCTCTGACATTGTATATTTTATCGATACGGGTCATTACTGCTGTATTTTTTATCAGTGCTGATTTCCATACAGCTCCCAGCATGTGTGTCAGACATCATCGGGCCGATAATAAAGTTTTTAAAATATCGTACTCCGTTTCCTGCCCGCATCATTCGCTGGCACAGCCGTGGCTGTGGGGCTGCTCTGATTTGGGACCAGAGTTTCATGGGAGAGCTGTGCTCCATCGCCGCTGCGGGGGCTCCACCAACCCAAAGGAAAACGCGGGGCGCCCGGTGGTGGGGAGGTAAATTTTATTGCTCATAAATTACTTCTTTTTTTTTTTTTTTTTGTCCTCTCATTAAAAAACAAAACGAAACAATTTCAGGTTACATCTTGCAGGTGCCCATCAAGGCAGGAGGTGCAGTGAAACCCCGGGCTCAGCAGCCTCTCGTATGGGGCTGGAAGAGGACGACGCGGGGCTGGTGACAAGGCACACCCCATCCTGACACCCCCTACCCCAGCTGTGAGCCCCCCAGCCCTCCTGAAGGCCCCGAGACGCAGCGGAGCCTTCCCCTGCCCCTTGTTGCCCTGAGGCACAACACAGTGGCTCTCAGAGCGTGGCAGAAGAGTTGGCACCACACGGTGAGACCTGGGGTTGGCACAGCTGCAACCATCCTTGGGGCACATTGGGCAGCCCTGCACTGCATTTTGGGGTGCTGTTGGGATGGGCAGAGTTAGGGACAAGGTGGTGGCTTCCCATGCGTGATGCAAGGGTGCCGGAGGACAGCACCTGGAGGTGGGCTGTGGTGGGCAGAATGCTGGGGGTCACAGTGCTGCTCCAGCCCCACAGAAACAGCAGCAATGTGTCCGGGAGCAAAATGCACCCCAGGTGCAGCCAGCATCACTTCGGCCCTGGGTGGGGATGCTCTCCTGCGGGGCACTTTCACGAGCCATGGGAGGGGGCACAGCAGTGCCAGCAGTTGGCTCTAACTGGAAAACCACTCCACAGCAGAACCCCACCAGCAGTGACCAACGCAGTCAGCTCTCTGCCACCTGGGCTAAACCTACAGTCACAGCAACCCGAGCGGTCCTCTGCGCTCAAACAATTAAAAAAGTGCAACACAATGGGAAAGGCAGAACCTCTGAGCACTGCTCCCAGCCGTGCCTCACTGGTGCCAGCTGCATCATGCAGCAAAGATGCAGCTCTTGCTTCAAAAACCCCTTCCCCTTTGGCAGGGCTGGGGGTGCGAGTATATAGGTGTATATATTTCAGTCTCATGCAGCCCTAGGAATAATGGAAGAGAAGCAGCAAAGCAGGAGGGCTCTGGGGCTGAGCCTGGGAAGGAGCACAGCAGTGCTGGCTATCCCGTGGCACATATCCACGCAGCCCTCTGCTCCTTGTGTATTTCTTAGCTTATATCCTACAGTAGTACCGTAACACCCCCCCCTACGTACACGGCCGTGGCACTGCAGCAGCCCCGGGAGCAGAGTCCAGCCCTGACCCAGGGCTGCAGCACTGGCACCAGCAACTCCTTTGCTTAAGGGGAGACTGAGGCTCCCCTGCCCGCCCGTTGTCACTGCATCCCATGAGCAGGGTGTCCCCCGTGCCTTCCTCCCTCCCCTGCAAGCTGCTGCCACTCTGAGAAGCAAACCTGGCTATGGGGCACGAGCTAGGAGCACGGGGTGTCTGATCCGGGGGGGGGCATCAGGCTGTTTGGCAGCCATCTGACCCCCACCACTGCAAGCAGCGAGCTGGATCTAGAGAAGAGAGGAAATCGGGGCACTAAAGCTTTAGCCTTTGGCTTTTCAAAGCAGCAGGATTAAATAAACTCTGCCTAAAAAGGCGGCTCTGGGAGGCAGCCATGCGCCGGGCGACGAGGAGGCGGCAGTGCCACGCGGCGGCAGCGCTCCCGGCATCAGCTGATGAGCGGCGCCGAGCGGTCGTTCGTCACGGTCGGTTTCAGCTGGACGTTGGCAAAGGGGTTTCTGCAGGGAGAGAGGAGGGCAGAGTTTAGCAGAGGCTCGGGAGTGCAGGTGTGGGGCGATGGGATGATGAGACGGCGAGACCCCGCCAGCTCTGGCTGCAGGGATGCTCCGATGGCTGCAGGCGGCCCAGCACAGCCCTGAGTACAAGCTGCGGTCCACGTGGAGCTTTCTCCTACCTCGCTTTTCAGCAGGCCTAAAGCTGAGCTCTTCCAAAGGGAAAAAAATTAGGGGTGGGTGCGGGGTGCAAAAGCCGCTCTGGCACGGGGAGAGTCCCGAGGTCAGCCGGTGCTGCAGGGGCGGCTGCGTTGTGCACAAGGCATCGCTCCCTGCACCCGCTGCCATGGGACTTGCTGGGACAAGAGCAGAGAGCACAGCTCCGTGCCAAGCTGCATGGAAGCAGCAAAACATCCAAGAGGCAGAAAACAGGGAGAGGACGGGCTCCTACTACATGCCCAGCACCATCCTGCAGCCGCCCACACTCGCAGAGCGTTTTCCCTGGCAGGCGGATTGCTGCACACAGCATCTGCCACCACGTCACACGCCCTGCACCACCTCCTGTATGCAAACAGCCCGGCTCTGCTGGCAGCCCTCAGCCCTCCCCAGCAGCTGCACAACCCCTCACCTTTGTGCTATGGCACCTGCATGTCATTGTGGCACCCCCCTGGGGTCCTGTGCCCGTTCCTATGGCTGGTACAGCCCAGGAGCGAACCATGAGCACAGGCATGGGGTAATAGGCGTTAGGAGCAGCCACGCTATCAGCTGTGCTATCAGCTGTCTCCACCCACAGCAGCACCCACTGCATCAGCAGTGGGGCCAGGGGGTGGGGCTGCAGTCCACCAGGTGCTGCCCCTCACCATCCCTCACCTTTGGATGCTTGTTTTTCCTTCCCTCAAAAGATAAATGGCTTTATGCTTAAAAATAGGGTAATTAATTTCCCACCTAATTAATGCAGATGCTTAGATCAGTTTTCCCCTTAGGATGCCAAAATAGATTCTTGAGACTGAAAGAGTAGAAAAGGAGGCTTTGATGATTCACCAGGGGCTATTCTTTAACTGTTTTAGTTCTGGCAGGGAAGAGCCATTGGGATGGGAACCCACAGCTCTGCACCACAGCAGAAACAGTGCAGGGCACACAGAGCTCCATCCCAAGATGGGGGGGGGGGGGGGGCAGCTCCAAGACACAGCCCCGGAGCCAGGTGGGGGTTGGCACCCGTGTCTACAAGCAAGAGAAGCTGCTCAAAACATGTCATTAGCGACCACGTGTTGGCTCTGCCCCAGGGACAGCTCTGCAGGGTTCCAGGTGCCACTGGTGACCTACAACCAAAGGTTGGTTATGGGGTCAGAGCGGGGTGGGCAGCAGCAGCAGCGGGCGAGAAGCTGGGACCCCTCTGCAGAAGCTCAACAGCAGCAGCGTCCACAGCACAGCAGCGATGTGCAGAGCTGAGCAGCAGGGCTGGGTGTGCAGGGTCCCACCACCGGGATGGGGACAAGCAGTGACCGAGGGCTCACACAGCACGGGTGCAGGAAGGAGAGCGGAGGCACCGTCTGCCCAGCGTCAGCGCCCAGCACAGAGAGGGGCACGCGGAGAGACCGTCAACTTACTAACTATGGGCAGGGGGCATCTCAAAACCTGGCCACTTCAACATCGGGGCTGCAAGGGAAAGAGAAGGCAGGTTGGAGGACACCGGCATGCCTTGATGGGAACAAATGGTGGTGGTTAACGAGAGGAACCGGGTGGAGGCAGCTGCGGGTAGAGGAAGCAGGAGGGAAAAATAAAGTAAAAATAAAAGAGAGAGAAGGAAAAGTGGGACTGATTGAGTGGTGAGTCCAGCAGCACGCCCTGCGAGGAGGAGGAGGAGGCACGTGGCTGCGAGTGGTGCAGACCTGCGGGGAGGAGAGGGCAGGAGAGGAGGGGAAGGGGGGCCTGCTTCCTTCCCAATGCCCCCAGACCAATGCAGCCCCCACAGCCTCGCTGGGAGCCAGGCAGTGGGCACGGGGCACCCCACTGGCATGCAGCACCGAAGGGAGCAGAGATGCAGCACAGAGCAGACAACAGGGTTAAACGGCTTTAACCCCTTAGCAAAGCTGCTTCAACACAAACCGGTCCAAGCTGAGCGCAGGCACTGGGCACTGATGGGATGGGAATGGCCCTTGGCGTGGAGGGATGGAGAATGGCAACAACAAAAAACAAAAGGGCACGGCAATGCGGGCGGTGATGGCAGCGCACAGCACGGCAGCCGAAAAAGACACCGAGGCCCAGCTCAATGCAATAAATAAAACTTTTATTCAAACAATAACTCGATACAGGGCACGGTTCTCTCTGGCTTTTGTGGTTGGTTTTTTTTTTGTTTGTTTTTTGTTTTTTTTTAAAGAAAAAAAGGTTTCAGCACTTTACAGTCGCCATCCAAGTTCTGCTAGGGTGGTCGTCTCCCCTCTACCTCCAGTCATTCAGTGCGACATACCCTGGGTTAAAAACCTTTAGCAAAATCGTGCTATCGTTGCAGGAGGGTCTCATCACTGTCTGCTCATAGTGTATAAAACAAAACCTGATCCGTGTGGCTGCGCGCTCCGCCAGCCATCTCCTACCAAACGGGCACGTGAGAGGTCTTAAAAATCACATCCAAAAAAAAGAAAGGAAGCGTGGCCAGCTCCGTGGTGCCGGGACGGACCGTGCCCAGCCCCTTTGCCCCCAGCACGAAGGTGAGGTAACGATACCTTGCTACAAAAAATATATATATATTTATAAAACAACGAGGAGGGACCTGCGGGGCCGCCCTTGAGCCCAGCGGAGCAGCAGCCGCTCCGGTGCCAGGAGCTCAGCCCCATCCACTTCACTCTATAGCTGGGTGGAAGTGGATTTGGGGTGCGGGACCCCCGCCGCCCCGCAGCCCAGCGGGCGCTCGGTAACAGTACGTACACCAGGCCATGCATATTGGGTCCATCCTGGGGCATCCTGCCCGCGTCCGCGGCTCGTGTAAAGCCCCAGAGGAGGGATAGTGCATCTCTAACATTCACAAAGTAGTACAAAAAACTGGGTCCCACTAAAAGTGTAAACTGCATCCAAGGCTGCTTCAAAGCGAGCACAGACCGATCGGCAGTTTCTGCTCTGAAAAGGCGTCAGAAACAAGGGCACTGTGAACACCGGGGAGGGGTGGAGAAGCACCATGGTTTCCTTGAAGATCACGAGAGAATTTAAAATCCGAAAGTGGAGAAAGAGAAAAAGGGAAGGGGAAAAAAAAAAAAAAGAAGAAACAAAAAAAAAGGAGGAGGAGAGAGAAGCAGAGCGCTCTTCTGAGCAGCACAGTGCCGCCGTGAGCCTGGTGTCCTCACACCGTTGATACCAGACTGCTGCTGCCGCTGTGGAACAAAGCAGAGGAGGCTGCCCCAGTGCTGCTTCACTCACTGCCCGCGTGTTTATCCCGTGCACGGCCCTGACCAGGGACAGGGGTCCCCAGCACCTGGGGATGGGGCTTCTGCAAGGGGAGAAGGGAGCAGGGGAACCCCAAGAGCTCAGCCCAAGAGGTGGCTGCAGAGACATGGGGCTCCTTGGAGAGGCACTGGCCCCATGGGGTGTGAGGTTGGGTGCAGCTGGGGCTGGCCCTGGGACCTGCCTTCTGTGAGACACACTGGGTCCCATTCTGCTCCAAGATCTCCACGTGGCCAAATCCCAGGCCAACAGGCACAGCCCCCCTCCCCAGGGACACCGCACCACAGCTTCACGCAGAGCGCACCGACAACTCGCTTTTGTGTTAGGCGACGGGAAGGTGAAGGCTTACCTGCTCACAGACCTCGTCCCATAGTCATCGAGACCCTACAGGAGGAGAAGAAGCACAGTGAGACATGGGCTGCGCCCCTTCCGAGGGCTCTGGAGCGTCACAAGGACTGATCAAAGTGCATCGGCACCAGGGAATGCTTGGGCAAGAACCGATGCGTTTGGAGATGGAAGGGAGGGGATGGAGATGGTTTCAACAGGATTCAGACAGCAGGGGTAGAGTTGCACGTTCTCTTTGGAACAGAACTTGGTCTGGATAAGGGGAAGCAAGAGCTGAACCTGGCTTGCTCTGCCCAGCCCCAGACTTTCGAGATGCGAGACACTCGGAAAGGGGTCAGAAGTCTGAGGTACATCAGTGAAATGCTCTGTGGAAGGGGTTTGCTGCATCAACTCCCACCAGAAACCATGTGGTTTCTGTGGGACCATTTTCTCCTTCAGCGCTCAGTGGTGGCTTGCAGGGCAGCACTGGAACCGGTCAATGTCCCAGGGTCCCCCACAGCCCCCAGCATTCTAGGGACAGCCACTGGTGCCCAGCAGCACCTGTGTCCCTGGAACCACACAGCCAAGAGAAAACGTTCCCTGTGAGCAGCTCATTTCTGGTGGGAGACTGCCATGGAGTCAGCAAGTGTTGCCCATTGGGGGCTCACAGTGCCGCTTTGTGCCATGGCCCCTCGTGCCTTGCCCACTGCACCCAGGAAAGCCAACCTGACCTTCATCCCCTTCTCTCCCACTGCTTTTCCCCTCTTCCCTGACCCTTTCTCTGTCAGGAGAGATGCTCGGAAGGGGCTGGGACTGGGCCAGGCATGAGGGCAGCCAGACAAAACCAGGCAACTGCAGGTCCCAATGGCAACATTGCGTGCGCTCGGACTTACAGCTGTCGACCTAGCGTAAGGCTTGTAGTGGGCGGGTGGTGGTTGGCAGAGGCCACTGGAATAGTCTTTAATTGCACAACCATAGGGCATAAGGTAGTCCTATAAACAATGAACACACCCTGTTGGAGAGGAGCTCCCGGCCACTGGCACGTGGTTTGCACCACGCTCACACCAAGAGCACACTTCAACACGTTTCTTTCTGCTTTAAAAACACAGATGGGACACTGCTCCAGGACAGACCAAAGCTCTGAGACTCATTCAAGCACCTCCCATTTTAAAACATCCCCTAGTTCAGCAAAGCCCTATCAGTGATCATGGCAGCACGGCTCACCTGGGAGAAGGCGGGCACAGCCACGCTGTACGGCCTCTGCTTGAAGGTGTTGACGTTCTGCGATGGGAAGGCTTGTGAGGACATGCCGTAGTCAGGTGGTGGGATGGCAATGTCATCTTTGTCGAGCAGGTTGCCCGTGCTGCTGCTCTTCCCCTGTTGCAGGCTGGGGAGGGGATAGCAGGGCTGTCAGCAGTAGCCAGCACCGCACAGCACCAGGAAGAGGGGCAAGATGCATACAGCCCTCCCCAGAGCGTCCCTCCTGTGGTGCCTTCTGTCCCCATCCGTATCCAGTATCTCCATCCCCACCACCCCAAACAAGGCACTGGAAGCAGTTGAGCTCCAGAACGCCCCAGGAAGCCTGGAGCTGCAGCACAGGTGTCACCAGCACCAAATGCTGCTCCCCACTGCACCAAAGGACATTCTTTGGTGTCCCAACCAAAGAGGACATTCCTTGGCATTTATGCACACTGTCCCACAGGGACTTCACAAGGGGTTGCTACCAACTCCATTCTTTTCCATGTCTCTTGTCTAGGGGAAAGCAGAAAGCTCCCGTCCCAAGGCAGCAACCCTACTCTTGGGAGAAACACAGGGTCCCCACCCTGCAAAGCCCCAAGATGTGCCAACACTCGGTGCTCCTACCTCGCATGGACCCGCTCACTGCCATCGTTGTCAAGGACTCGTGTGTAGGAGAAAGGAAACCAGCCCCTCCTGCAAGACAAAGGCAGGGCATCAGCTGATGGAGGCACTGATGAAGGAGAAGGCTGAACCGAGCTCCCTGGAGCCAGCCCCGAGGGCAGCAGCACTCACAGTTTTGTTTTCTCGCTCTCTCCGTAGTGCCACCCATCCCTGGCCTCCGGCACCAGCAGCGTGATGAGGTCTCCCTCCTTGAAGCTCAGGAGGGTGCTGTTATCACCAGCAGCATGAGAGAAAATGGCCTGCACCCTCGTCCTGCCGTTCCTCTCGAGCCCTGCAGCCATGGAGCTGGAGCGTGGCAGTGTCTTGTTTTCAGCTGGCAGGAGACAATGACAACAACGGCTCAGTCCTTCATCTCTTCAGAACCCAGAACTCCAGCTCCTTTATTCTGACCCCATAAAGCCCTTGTGTCTGGTTCACCCCCCTGATGCCTCTGCACAGCAGCCGTTCACCCCCCAGGAACTATGCACATCATCCACCCCCCTGCAGCATCCCCTGTGCCCACCTTCACCTTTGGCATCCAAGTGTCCTACACTGTCTTGCAGTCTCACGTGTTGACTCTTTCCCAAATATCCCCTCTTCTTCTCCCACTCTGGAAGGTTTTGCCCCAATCCCACTGCATGAGGCAGCAGCACCCTCATCCTTCAGCACTGTGCAGACACACGGAAGCCCAGGCAGAATGCAGCCCCTGTTCTTAGCACCACCCAACAGCCACAAAGGAGCAGCCACGCTGCGCATCCTCCTTCCTATTCCTCAACATTTCCCTCCTGGAAACCCTATCTGTGGGCCCAGAAATTGGTTCTACTCATTCCCTTACACCATGTTTGGCAGCGTGGATGGCACCACTGTGCCACCGGGCACCAGGAAACCTCACCTGAGGCATAGCTGTTTTTCGGGGTCACGTTTTTGCGAACGGGAAGCGTGTTCGAGTAAGAGTCGCTCAGCTGCTTCTGAGGCTGGGGAGGAGATAAAGATTTGGGCTGTGCTGGCTTCACCTCAGACCAGTGGTTGTAATCGTCACTGTCTGGGCCCGAGACTCCATTCACCGCCGGCATGGCCTCCTGCATGCGCTATGGAGAGAGGAGGGGAGGGAGGGGAAGATGGGGACGGCTCCATTAGGGCACCTAGCGAGCTCTGGGGATGGGCACGCAGTGCCTGCGGGGTTCAGCTTCCTCCTGACACACTGCTGCAAGCTGCCTTACACCCACCAAACCCCTCCTGAGCTCTACTGCTCAGTTGTCACCCCAGGCATTGGACAGGAGATCCTTTACTATGGGTACTTCTACCATGCAAGGTTGCTCCATGCACCTTTGCAACACACCTTGGCCTCCGGCATTGGGCAGGAGACCCTTTTCTGAAAGCAATTCCATCACACAATTGCTCTGTGCACTTCTGCAGGGCGCCTCAGCCCCCAGCACTGGCCAGGACACCCATATTTAAGAGCAATTCCACCATGCAAGATTGCTCTGTGCACTTCTGCAGGGTGCATCTGCCTCCAGTGCCAGGCAAGAGATTCTTCCTTAAGGGCACTTCCATCATGCAAGGTTCCTCCATGCACTTTTATGGGGTGCCTTGGTCCCACCTTACCAATGCCAGCCCCAAGGCCAGGTGAGTGCAACCCCTAGCTGCCCACCACCCCACCCAAGCCCCCCAGAGCCACAACCCTGGGGTGTCCAACCCCATGCGCCCACATGTGACAAAGGCAACTTGCTGAGGACAACGGTGACGCTGGCCTGGGCTCATCCCTCCAGCTTTGCTCAGAAGGGCAGGACAACTTCCACCACCAAGATACTTACTCCGACAAAAGGTGCCAGCTCCGGGGGAACAGGGAGAGGTTTGGCACCAGGAATGGGGTCAGAGATGATGAGGTTGGACTTGGATGTAGACAGAGGGCTAGGCATGATGGTGCCATTGCTGCTAGCAGCCATCTGCTGCATCAGCTGGATGGCACGGTCCGGGATCTTGTTGGGATCAGAGCACGACTGCTGCCACAGCGGAAGCTTCTGTGTCAGCATCTCCTTCCCCTGCAAGGAGGGAATGCAGCATGAGGGCACAGGGATGGGCAGCACACAAGCCTGCAGGATTTTCAGCAAGAAAGGACCATCTGTGGGCACAGCACACTGGATGGGCTCCTTTACTTTTGGCACGAGCAAAGGAAGACCTGGGGACCCACTGCTTCCAGGCTCTGCTAGCAGCAAAGCCAGGAAGAGAGACAAAAGAGGGAAGGGAAAGGGAACATCTCTCACAGCCCCACTCCTGACACGTGGCTCACGCAGGCTGCAGGGATGTACCACTCTCCCCCTCCCAGTAAAATCACCCTAAAACTGCAGGTCAGGATTCCCAGTGACACTCCAACGTCACAAGCTGCACTGACCGCAGCGGGGTCATGTTCATGTGACAGATGCCTGTGACACCTTCACTGCACACAGAGATGGGAGGATCACACTCGTGCTGTGCACTGTGACACAGGCTCAGGGATGAGCTTCTGTTTGGGGCTGCTTGACCCCAGCAGCCTCCACCACCCACAGCCAGCACGCTGCTCCTGGCTGCGGCAAGAGGACAGAGCTGACCTCAGCCAGCTAATGCAGCCATGGCAACTAAGAGCATCCCATCACACAGCCCCACGGGAGCAGATACCCCAATCCCACCCCTCCAGGTCACTCCTCAGCCAAACACAGTGCTCAGCCCCACATACAGCACACTTGGAGCAGAGCTGAGGTGCAGTGGCACTGCACTCCTGCAGGTGCTCTCATGGGAACACAACCCAATGCACACACCAAAAAAAAACCACAACCCTCCCATACCCTGCACAGATGCCCCAAAGGTTTCTACTGCCCACCTGCCACACACCTCATCACCCACCACCAGCCACTGTGCCCATGCACAGCACTCAGTGCTGACATTGCACCACCACCCACCCGCTCAGCCCCTCTCTGCAAACTGCAGCAAGAGCAGGAGCAGCACCATGCCATGGCCACAGCTGCACTGCAGGTGCCACCACCCGTCTTGGGGGGGGGGATTTTTCCCCTTTGAAGTAAGCATATGCTGGTGACTGATTCAGCCCCACAGTGCAGCACGAGGATGGCGCTGACTAAGCCCAATTCTTCCCGTTGCTCCCCGGTGCCAAGCACAGCAGTGACAGATGGGTGCCACAAGTGCTGGGGGGTGGCAGGGAACACGCAGGAGAGGAGCACGAGGCTGCTGGGAGCTGTGTGCACATAGCCTGCCTATGGGCTCTGCTCCAGCCCTGTGCAGCTCAGGGGGTGGCCCCCAGCCCCTGTAACCAGGCTCGGAAGTGGACAGTGGGCTGGAGCAGATGCTATTAGGTTTGATTCCTTCCTTTGCTATGGACAAGGGCTGATTCGGGTGGGAAGGGGTCCTCTGGCAGCTCTGCAGGAACTTTGATCAGAGCAAGAACATCACCCGCTTTGCATTTCTTCTACTTTTACAAACCAGGAGGAGCTGATGAATGAACATCTGGAGGAGCCCCCAAACCACAATGACCAGGCACATGGTGAACATAACGCATGCAGGTGAATACATCTCTGCATACTCACCACTACCTCTCACCTGTGCAGGTGAAACCGCATCAGGAGAAGGCAGACAGCAACAGCACATCCATTAGGGTGACCGTGCCCCAAAACCCTCCTGGCCAAGAGCTGCCCATGGCAGCCTCCAGCATGCCTTCCTGCAGCACCACTGCATCACTGCCCTCCCAGCACCTGCAGCTCCCAACTGCTGGGCTCTGCACAACCCACAGCTTGCACTCAGCCTGCTCCCCACTGCTGCAAGCTCCCCAGGCACCCAGCAGCCCCTTCTCACCTTAGCATGGTAGGTGATTGCACTCTTGGCCACAGCACACTGCTTCTCCACCAGGAAACAGAACCGCCGCCTCTCCTCGGTCAGAGCTGTCTTATAGCCATCGGAGACGTAATTCTCCAGCTCACCTTGCTTGTTGCTGATGGCCTCGATGTACTGGAGGGGAAGAAGGAGCAGACAGGTGACCGTGATGCCCGCTGTGCCCCACAAGCACCCGCACCCGTTAGCAGGGGAGATGCTTGTGGGTGGGAGTAGCAGCAGAGCCAGCTCGGGGGATGCCCACGGGGGCTCCTCAGCACAGGACACATACACATGTGCCTGCACGTCCCCTCCAACCCACCCGCATTCATCAGAACCCCACGCAGAGCTGCTGACTCAGCGCGCGGGCTGAGCCGTACTGTGCAGCCGCCCTCTCACCAAACGGGCACTGGAGGCTGTCAGGGCCCTCCCCCACCCCAGTGCTGGCAGCAGCCCCCGCTCATCTCCTCTCCTGCACCCCCGGGACAGCAATGCACATAAAACACGTGGGGCTGGGGCAGTGCTGCTGGGTGCCATAGCCCATAGGAGCGTACACACAGCATCCCCCCCCCACGCCCAGCACTGAGCTTTCTGCTGCAAGCAGCCATTCCTCGATGCCGGCCCCAGCAGGGCCCCTGCCAGCACCGGGCTGAGATGCTGCAGACGCAGCAAAAGGAGGCTCTGCTGCTGGCACAGCTCCTGCTCCACCTACATGGCTTCTGCCAGCTTGACTGCTTGGCTGTGCCCGCACACACTCTGCCAGCAGGAGTGGGGCATGTTTGGTGTGGAGCAGAAAACAGCACATGGAGCAGACCCATGCGGTGCAAGTGTGGCACAGAGCTTCAGAACAGCACAGCGACTGCAACCATCAGTGCACATGAGATGTTCCCATCTCCTAAACAGCCCCTTCCTGCTCCCCTCCCCTCGCTCTGCCCCCAGCTCCTCTGCAAGGAGCAGCCAGCACCAAACCCCATGAGGAGCATTGCACAGCCCCAGCATCAGGACACGTACTGCACCAAGTGGGGACACATTGCTGCCATTGCCTCTTCCCAGGACACCAGCACCAGAAAGCTATAAGCAGCCTGGGCACTGCTGAACCTGCTCCAGGAGCCTCCCTGAGACAGGAACTGAACTGGAAATTCAGGGCCCAAAGCAGCTTTGCTGCTTTCTTCATGTTTATTGGTTATTTTTAGCGTGCTACAGTATTTATTAGCAGACACACAAAATGGAGCAAACCTCAACAAAGCAGCGAGATTAAGCGATGTCCCAGACATCAAAGAGGGCTCAGGGCAGATCTGGAGTCCCCGCCGCCCCACGCAGCACCCCAACAAGGGGGGGACCCTGCAGGAGGAGGCTGGCACCTGGCTGCTGTGGGGCAGCCCCACAGCACCAACAGGGCTGAAGGATGGGTAAAGATCCCACCTGTAGCCACAAGCATCACTCCTAGGACAAATTTCTTCCTCCCAGCTCAGAATATCTAGACATAAGAATTGCAGTACCACAGGTGTCTGCGCATCCCCCAAGTGAAGCTTCAGGGAGAGCTGGACTGGGGACGTGGAGGCGGGCACAGCCTGGGGGTGGCACAGGCAGAGCAGGAACAGCAGCTCCCCTGTGGGCAGAGGTGTGCTGAGCACTGTGCCCTCCACCCCCACCAGTGCCAGCCTGGGGTGCAGAGCCCAGAGGTGTGCACGTGGCAGCAGGGATGCTCCAGCCCAGGGGTGCAGCAGCAGGACAGAGCTTGGCACCTTCAGCTCAGCAGTTTAATACATGGGCATGGGAAGGAACACAGGAGGGCCATGCAGCGTGCTGCCAGCCAGGCAGGCAAGCTTCTCCCAGCAATGGGAGACTTCTAGTTTTAATGACTACAACATGCAAAGCCTTATTTACATCCCCGATTCCAATCTTGCTTTGCAGCTATACTCTTAATTACTCCGCTAACGAAGGGCTTGCCTTAACGGCTGCGACCAGTTAGAACACGTCCATTTGCAAGCAGTCTGTGCACTAAATTTAGTGCTTTGTGCACTGCGTGGAGATGAGCACAGCGTGCCATGGGTTTGTTCTGAGCAGTGCTTTGTACACAGGATTACCCCACAAAATGGTGAGCACTGCCTCACACACCAGGCAGCTCTCATTTCGGGATTCATTCCAATGGCAGTGCTGTGTCCCACTGGGGGTGACACCTGCGCTGCACATGGGCACCACTGGGTGCCATCACCTCACGGACAGAGCTTCAAATTCTCATTTTAAGCATCATCTGAACAAAAATCTCACCTCACAGGGGAAAGCCCCCCCCCCCACTCCATGGGGGCACCCAACCAGGCGGTGCTGGCAGTATGGAGCTCAGTGCAGGCGCCTCTGGCAGCTCCAAGAAGCTTTTCTGGGTTTCTAGGTTGGAGAAACCTCAGATAACCCCCCCTTCCCCCGTTCCTGAGTGCATCACCTCGCTGTCACCGGAGCCGCTGACCCAATTAGCACAGCAGCACATGGTGGGGCTGGAGCCCATCCTAGGGTGCTCCCCAAGGGGAGCAGCACTGCGGGGTGGGGTGGGGGCACAGCTGCTGCTTGGGGGCACAAGGAGCCCCATGGTGGCACAGCTCAGGGTTGCACAGCAGGGCACGGCACCATTCAGCATAGCTGGGGATGCTCCATTCAGAAAGCCTCTCTGAATCACTCCAGAGCAGCCAGCTAGCACAGGTGGAGCAGCGCTATCATTACTGAACTTCACCCAAGTCCTTAATAACAACACAGGTGCACTGAAAAAAAAAAAGAAATCAGTTCAAACCGTTCTACTCAAGAACACAAGAACTAGTTAGGGATGTAAGCCAAGGACAATGCTAATCACCACGGCACTGAGCTCTGCTGCAGAAATCACAGTGACAGGTCCTTGTCAGCAATCAGGTGCATCTGCCAGCACAGCAGAATGGGCTGAGAGGGGGACCTGTGCAGACAAGAGGGGAGCAAACACAAGGAGCACTCTGCACGTCACCAGAAGACCACCGGAGGCACAGCCACAAACTTGAGCCAGATGCAGAGCAGGGAGGGGACTGTGACCCTGTGCTGCTCCCAAAACTGAGCTCCTGTCTGGGATGAGGTGAGATGGAACTGGCAGCACTCAGCAGTGGGAGATGGGGGTGAGGAAGCTGGTGTGCCGGGCTGACGGGGCAGGAGGCACTGCATGGAAGGAGTGACCGCTGTGAGGAGAGGGGATCTATTTAAGGAACCACAAGGGACAATAATTAGAAAGTAATGGGATAAAATAAGACAGAAGCTAGGCTGATTAACCAGGAAAGAGCTTCTAAGCTGTCAAATAGTCTCAAGGAAGAGCAGCTCCAAGCCTACAGCATAGGGTCAGAGGTGAGACCAACAACTCCCTGGCTCTTAGGAAAAGGTCTTCTCATCTCCAGAAGCTGCTCCTTGCATGGAGGTTACACTCCTTGCCTTGGGTTTTATGCTGAATTTTCTACCTCTTTAGCAGGTTTTGAGAACAAGCCTTGCCAAGGGATACATCCTGCATCCAACTCTAGAGGAGCCGGTGCCTGAGCCACATCCCAAAGCCCCCAACATCTCCTCCACAGAGCCCTGCAAGAAACAGCCCCCCAAGGCACGCAGGCACCTGGTGTATCTCATCCCCATCTCCATCCCATCGTGGTCAGCCCAGGTGAGCTGTGCCCAGCAGGTCCTGCCACCAGAGCCCAACAGCTGCCCGCTCCCCATCACTGAAACATGCTGCCTTCCCCCCTTACTCCGCCATCTCACATCTGCTCTGCAGGGCAGTGCTTCATCCTATTCCTGCATGCTTTATGTAACACCACGCACACAGCTCCGCACAGGAACTCGCTCCTGCAGCACAGTGCTTCCTGCAGCCAGCCCTCAGCCACGCAAATGTCCCCTCAACCTGGGGACAGCTCAGGGCAGCCACTCCATGTTGGGATCTGGTGCGGAGATGTGCGTGACATGGGCTGAGTCCTGCCTTCCAAGAGGGCCACGAGGCACCCTGGCCACAGAAAGAGAGGCTTTAGGCTCCATTTCTTTATCAAAATCAATCCACTCGGTTGAGCTTATTTGCAGCAGCTGCTGTGGGAGTTACAGGAACAGCCCCAGGAAGCAGCACTCAGGCAGCAGGGATGAATGTGACAGCCCAGCATGGAGCACAGCCCCAGCCCATGGCTGTGACACCACATTTGGACACAGCACCACCAGGGCTCAAAGCACAAGGAAAAGGGGTAAGGCATCTGCAGCCTCTTGTATGCTTTTACATAATTCCTCCCCGTTTGACTTTCACATCAGCCCTCGTAACCTGGTTGTTCACATTCCCCATCAGCCCGCGCTTCTTGACCCATCGCTAAAATTACTTCTCCCCAGTGGGAAGAGAAAATGAGGTTTCAATTACCAAAGTTTCTAAAAAACCCCCAGGCTATTTGGCACAGCAGTGTTTAATGCTTACACCGCTCCCACGGGAGCACATGGGGACAGCAGCAGGGACTGTTCCTGCACTGACCACAGCCACCTCCAACTCAGCCTCACAGGAAAGTCCCACTGCCCACGGCACCAATGGATGGACAGCTTGAGCCCACACTGCTGCTGCCTCATTCAGTCGAGGTCTGAAAACCTAAAACCTCAGCAACCACAGAACAGAGAAGGCAGATTGAGGCAGCACCGCAGCCCAAATTTCCCTTCCCCTGTGCAACAGCTCTGGACTAATTCATCAGAAATCAAACACTGGTGTTATTGCCACCTTCAGCAGCACAGCTCTTAACCACTGCACCTCTGCTGACAAGCCCCGCAGCAGCCAAACTGTGCTCTGAGGTGCTGTAAGCAATGAGTCTTTATTGAAAGCCACACTGTGCTTTCATCCTGCAAAGCCCCTCCTCACCCACCAGACCCCACAGCATCCAAGCTCTCACTGTGCACTGCTATGCATGCAGCAGCACCAAGCAACCCCCAGCTCTGCAACCCCAAATCAACAGGTGTGCAACCCCCACCCTTACTTCTGCCTTACACATGGGGAAACCTGCACTGAAGAGACACAAGGAAGACAACCCAGGCTGTCCCAGCAGGCTCAGACCAATTCCATGCTGTGGTATGAACTGTGGTCACCCTGTGAGCATGGAGTAGGCAGATAGGAGCAATTTGCTTCCCACAGCATTAAGCACAGAGATGATGACAGAGCATCAGATTCCTGGCTGCTGAGTGCTACAGTAACTTAAGTGGATGAGTCTTCAAAGAAAGAGCATGATTTTATTGCTTTATTGAATGGGATGAGTTATGTCGGCACTGGGATGCATCTGCCAACAGCAGCTTTCCCATGACAGAACCAAACCATCACCCTGCCTCCAACCCACCCTCACTGCCCACAGAAAGGTTTTATGGAGCAAGAACCCCCACTGAGACACGAGCTGCTCCTCCAGCATCGAGGGAGGACTCTGATCTGAGACTGGGGAACAAAGCCAGCAGTTGAGCAGTTTCATTGCTCTTTAAGCTTAAAAGCCATCATAAGGCTTTTTTGCCGAGATAAGCACTTCCTAAATACTTACTGCTGAAAGATTAAAGGAATGAAAGCCTGATCCTGTTTTCCTCTTTGCCCACAGATGATGTGCTATCAGAACTACCCCTAATGATGCTGCTTCATGGTGGGAGCACCAAACCATCACAGCTCCTCCTGGCTGCAGTGGGTTCCTTCCTTTCTCCAATAGGTGGTGGCAATGCCAGCAACCCAGCAGCCCTGGGGACCCCACAGGAGTCAGGAGGCCCCAGCAGCACTGCCCATCCCTACCAGTAGCTCTTGTAGGGGAGGGGACCCCTCTCCAGGTGCTGATGCCATGCATTTCCTCCCACAGAGCCGCCTCACTGCTCCACAGGTCTGCTCTCAGCAGAGATCAGGAGCAACAGATTGCAGAGACACCAGTACTCCAAAGTGGTTTCAGCTGCTCAGCTTTCAGCGAAGTGCCAGCCTGCACGCGGGACACCTCAGTCACACTGCAGCAACACCTCCTGAAGATGCTCCAATTAACCGTGCACAAGCAGCTCGGTACAGACACAGGAGCTGGGAGGCTGCAAATGAAATGAGCTCAGCTCAGAGCACTTCAGCTCAGCACAGGGGCTGCGCTCAGCCTGGATGGCTGAACTGCTTTTTTCTCCTTCTGTGATTATCCTGATTCATGCTACCGAGGGAACAACCAATCTCCCAGATTTTAGTGCAATTAACAGCGTCACTTTCCGAGCTATCTGTGTTATTTACTGCATTCCTGTGCACAGCCCCAGCGGTGCTTAGATTCCCTTTGGCAGGGCTGTGCTATCAGCCCATCAGCTACCAGTTGCAACCAAATCTGGTCCCCAGCATAACAACTATTCTCTCAGACAGCAGCACGCGATTTCCAGCTTTGGGGTTAAACTTCCTCTTTTCCTCAACGATGACAGCGTGGTGCTGCAGCGCTTGCAGCCAGAGCAGCTCTGCAGAGAGATGCACCAACCTCTTGTTAAAGCCTGCCATGCTGAGACAGCTCTGAGACCAACTCAAATCAAAGCCCACAGACTGATCCGTGCCAGGGCTGCATCACAACACCGCACCGCAGCCCCTCACCATGCCATGGGATGCATCCATGGATGCTCAGCTGCCCTGCTCTTCAGCCTGTCAGCAGCCAAAGCTGTGCAGAGGGCTCTGAGCCCCCAGCCCTGAGCAGCACAGGCACAGCCCCATCAGCACACAGCAGCCCACGCCGCAGTCACGCAGCCATGATTCACTTGCCAGCCTCCTCCCGCACGCGCTCGCCACCGGGCGGGCTGGGGGAAGGGCCGCCCGTCAGAAGGCACTGAAAATATTTAAGCAAAACACCATCCAGAGGGAGATGGATCTGGCACAACAGAAACTAATGATCTTTTCGGGTTCATTCATTAAGGAGGAGGGGAAGGAAAAAAAAAAAAAAGCAACAAAAAACCCAATAACCCAACAAACCACCAGCTGTGGTGGATCCAGCAGCGTTAGTCACCAGCAGAAGCTCAGCTTGGGCACGGCCACATCCCCATGTCATCCCAGTGCCTCCCCGGCTGCTCCTACAGCCCCAGCACACAGCTGGAAGGGTGATGGGCGCTGCTCTCCCCCAGCCCTGCTCCTACCTGCAGCTCCTTGTCTGAGTACTTCTGGGGGTTTTTGCTTCCTTGGCTCTTCTTCCGCAGCTTCTTCAGCTCAGCCTGGCACTTGTCGAGCGAGTCGCCCTTGTTCCTTTGCTCTGTTTGGTATTTCTTCAGCGCAGCCTGGGGGTGAGAGGGGGAGGCTCAGAGCAGCCCAAGGGGGGTGATGTGGAACCCCCAGCCCTGGGAGCAAACAGGGGTTGGGAGACCACATTCCAAATGGTGACACATCTGATGGCCCAGGGACATGGCCAGGGGCTGAACTGGGACACTTACGCTCAGGTAGCGCGAGTCCAGCTCCACCTTCTGCTCCAGCTGTGTCAGAAGCTCGTTGTGAAAGGACTTCAGCTGCAAGAAGAGAGCAAACACAGGTTCTGACACCTGCCACCCAGAGCATCACCGAGCACTGCCCAGAATCCCTGTGATGGGAACCAGGGCTGCACAGAGCTGACACCAGGAGGGCAGTGGGGCTGGAGCTGAGCAGATAAAGGGGATGCTGCCAGCAGCACAGGATGGACAGGTGCTCAGAGACAGACCTGGTCACAACACCAGCAGCTTGTGAGGGGCTGGGTGCCCTGGCCGAGCCCTCACCAACTCCAGAGATCTGATCTGAGGGCTCAGAGGGGTTCTTTCCGCCCAGGCTGAGCACCACAACACCAACATGAGCTCACCATTTCCTCCAGCTGGTTCTGGATCTGCCTGTGGACTTCAGCCATCTGGAAGAGCACGTCTCCTGGAAAGACAAGGCAAGAGGAGGGGGCTTCAGGCACGGAGCTGGGGGCGCTCAGACAGCAGGGAGGGATCCATTCAGCTTTGGTGGCTGTGAGCACATCATGGAACGGGGCAGCCATGCTGCAGGGGAAGGGCCGTCCCAGCAGAGGGATCCCAGCTCTGCTTCCACTCTTCCTTCAATTCTTCTTTTCCAATACAAGGCCTTCAAGTCTTGTTCCCACTCAGCTTTCCCCAGACAGGAAGAGCCACATCCTGCCCCAAAGCCCCGCCATAGACGGAGCCAGGCAGCCCCACAGAGCCGCTCTGCAGGAGCTGTGCCAGCCTCAGACCCACGGCACCATCAGCCCCAGCCCACACCACGTCACCCTGCTCCCATCCCCACGGGACCACGCAAACGGGCTGCGCTCCAATAGCGAGCAATTAGGAACACTCTGGTCCAACGTGCTTTAGCCCACGGCTGAAGCAATTCGTACTTTGCACCCGCACAGCACGGCTCAAAACTCTGCAAACATTAAAATCTGACCCCTTTGTTCTGGGCAATTGCCAGCTCCTGTGCTTTGAAAGGGGGAAAATCTCAAAGGGCTGAGGGCACTGGGACAGGCACAGGGTGGCACAGGGCACAGAGCAGAGGTGCACAAAGTAAGGTTGGCCAGCAGCTCTGCTCCCACACCAGCCCAGCTCTCCGCAGCTGGAGACACGCCGTTAACTTTTATGGCTGCTTTGCAAGATGCTGAGCAAAGCAAAGCAAAGCAGCCCGCAGTGCCGAGGTGCAGTGGCCACAGCAGTTCCACACATTGGCACTGAAAAGCTCCACGCATGAATGGGAAGGCCTGGGCCAAAGGTTACCCCGACAAGACTGCAGGAAATTGCTCTCCGGTTGGGCTGCGACTGCTCAATCCTAGGAAATGCACAAATTCCCACTATCAGGAGGGCAAGAAAAGTGACGTAATGCTGTAGCTCGGCTGAGATTCCTTTTTCTCCAAGAGTATATCGGCACAAAGGTGGCTTCCCTATATTCCCAAAGCTCACACTGTGCTCTCTCCCATTCCCATCAGACCAAATCAGCAGCAGAAGCAGCCAGGCCAGGGCTCTGCCAGCACTGCTGTGCATGGAACACAAGCAGGGAAGGGATGAGATGCTCAGAAATAATACACACAGCCCCAGATGAGCACCGTGCAGCTCTACCCCTGCGCTCCCCACCCAGCTCCCAGCAGCAGCGAGGTGGAGGAGCACCTCCCAGGACACCGATAGCCATCTCTGCTGATACTTTCTCCTCCACCACCCCCTCTGGCTGTTATCACAGCTGAACGTGGGGAGTTTCAGCCCCGGCTGGATGCCGTTCCACATCAAATGGGCAGGGCAGAGCCATCCCTTGCGCTGCATGTCTGACTGCCCTATGTGCATGTGCTCCAATGGGGTCAGTGTTGCTGCTTTTCCAGCTTGGGTGCTGGGTGAGCGGGTGGCAGCATCCTGAGCCCGCACAGCTCCTCCAGCACAGTGCTGAGCGTGACACTGCAGGGACACCGAGGAGCAGCCCTGGAATGTCTGCGTGGGGAGCACAGAGCACAGGAAGGCTGCAGGCTGCCCGCCCAGCATCAGGTCACACTGACTTCCTCTGAGGTTCCTCCCGCACTGGGAGCCTTAAGAAATTTCACTCTGGGTTTCCCATTGCAGCCTCCAGAGCTGGGAACCCGCACAGGGTGGTGGATTGAAGCTGAAGTCTCTGAACTGCAGCTATAATGTCACACACCTCCAACACCCCGACAGCCTCACGCTACGTACCGTGAAAAGGCTGCAGACCTCGTTAGGCATTAACATCTCACCCTGAAACCACCTGGACTGACACAGCTCGGCAGCAAGGGGAGAAGTTAAAATGTGACTCAGAGATATCACAGCCCTTGTGAAGCCAAAATATCGCACGCCCTGGCTGATGGTAGGATCAGCAGCACGGGGTGCTCCCCCCAGCTCCCTCCCACAGTGCTGGCACTGTGCTGGGGCTGCTTGGAACCAACACACTCAGCGATCCCTGCTGCAAACAGTGCGGGTCACATTGGGAATTAGATAGAGGGCGAGCACCATCTTTGCCCTGTGCCAAAACACACATGCTCTAAGCCAAGAAAGCAAAGCAAAGCGTGAAAGCTGAGGTCAGAAACAAAGAGCCACGGGGTGGGCAGGAGGGCAGCGCCAGGGCCGTGCCTGCTCTGCAGGGAGGCACACACACAGGCTGGGAGCTGCTATTTGCGTCGGCGTGACTCACAGTATCGTGCTGGGAGAATATAGGGACCATTGTGGGCCCTTCCCCAACCGCACCCAGCGAGCAACGGCGAAACAGGTTGTTCCACATCACTGAGATTGCAATTGGGCACCACGCGCAGAGCCAGCTGCCCGGCAGAAGGCAGAGCTGCAGGAACCGGCTGATCCTGAGCCCGCGGCTCTGAACCCTCGAGCTGGAGAAGGGCCAGCTTTAAGGAAATATCAAATAATGCAAAGCTGCATAAGAGCACCGGTGCCGGGCATCACTTCCTTGCTCCACAAAGCACACGGCCCCGCTCCACACCGGCACCAAGCACGCAGAGCTCAAAGCCAAAGAGCACAGTGCCAAGCTTTGCTGCTCTTCCCCACTGCACCCAGCTTCACCCTCTGCCTTGCGGAGGGGAACAGGAGAAGCAACAGGATCGAGAAGCGAAGCAACCAAGCAGGCGAGGAAGAGCATTAGCTCATTAACGAGAGAAAGCAGCAGGCAGCACAAGGCAGGTTGTTTGGGCAGCTGCCTCCTAATCTGTGCAGTGGACAGGAAAGCTCCAACAGTTATTTTCTGGGGGGAAAAGCACCGATTTGTGCGCAGGGTGAAGTCCCATCTGCTCCCCACGCGCTGCGTCCTGACCTGCCCTGCGATGCACAGCCCAGCACAGCCTGGCTGCGATCAGATGGCACTGCTCAGGGTTTGGCTCAGCCACATTTAGGACAGAAGCGCGCCGCTGAGGACTTCTGCAATCCTATTTCCTCCCTGAAACCAACAGATCGGGATTCAAGCTCACGTGGCACAATCCCAAACGAGCCCTCGAGCCCCTGAGAAAAGCACTTCATGGCTGAGCCCTCATTCAGACACAAAGGGTCCTGGATGCAACTTCCTATCAGCTCAGATGTGAAACTGCAAAGCAACATGGAGGGAGGAGATTCACGCAAGCACTTGGGAGGGGGGGAGGGGGGGAACAACACGGGTACAGGGAAACAATCAGCTCTGCATTTCCTCTTCAAAAAGGTTCCATTTATTTATCACAGCCGAAAGGATCATGCAGGATTTGTTGATGTTATATCAGCAGCTCATCAGCATTACAATGATCAGTTCTGTTCCCAGCCTCTGTTCCAGCCCAGCTTGGCAAAGCTTTCCACTTTTTTTTTTTGAGACAAAGTAAGGAGAGAAAAAAAAAAGCAATTGCTTCCCCAGCCTGCCTGGCTGAGCACAGGGCACTGAGCACAGGCACGTTTCCAGCCGCGTGCAGCATGGGGGTACAGTGCCCACCAACAGGACCTCTGCTGGCACGATGACCTTTGGCATTTGCAGAATCTCTATCTGCATCTCTGCTGCTGCAGGAAACTCCTACCCAAAACGGCTGCAAATCCAATTAGTGGATTAATGCATCTCCCCTGAGGATTCAGTGCAGCACAAAGCCTCCTAACCACACCAAGGCCACCAGGAGTCAGGTGGGACCGCAGCACCGAGTCCCAAAAGTGCTCCAGCCTTTGGGACAGAGCTGGGCTCTGCCCTGAGCTCAGAGTCCCTCCTCAGGCAGGGCATACCCAGGAGACAGTGGCCTGGCACCAACACACATTTTGAAAGCCACATAGAGCTCCTTTGCAGCTGTACCCCATTGACACCAAGCTGCCTTGGGCATCAGCTGAGGGGACCTTGGTAAAAACCAGCCCCAAAACAGTCCTTCCCTGGCCCTGGAGGAGCTTGCTGCAGGTGCATTCAGCCCCCAGCACAACTCAGCACCACCCACAGAAGCTGCATTTGGAGCAGTACCCGGCTCCTGGAAAGATCCCAGATTGAGCCCAGAGCAAATCTTGCCTGATCAGGCACAGCATTAACTCACTCCATCTTCTCACCCTCCCAAAAACCACCTCTCAGCCAAGCTGTGCACACCCAAGAGGAACTACAGGCTTGGATCCAACCCTCCAAGTCCCAGAGCTGGATGGGACCAGAGCCAGACAGGTGGGTCACATCCATCCCAGCGACTCAGCTGATGGCAATGCCAAGAACAGTCTGGCCCTGACCATCCACCAGGCTCAGCTCCTCGAGGTGCAAAATCCAGGGCAGAGCGAGGCACGGCACGCCAGGAGCTGCAACTTGCACCACCGCCTTGGGTGCAAACAGGAAAATCAGACTCTGAACACCCCAAACCTCAGTGGTGGGGCTGGCAGGGCTGTGCCCACCCAACCCGACGCCTGCACCCAGCACAGAGCCGATTACAGCTCAGGTGCTTCATTACTGCTGGGTTTCCCATTGCTTGCACCAGATTATCCTGTCTCAGCACAGCTGCTAAAATCTGGTGGAGAATTTGTGAGCTATGTGAAGCACTAAGCAGGCGGGGAGCGCAGAGCTAAGCTGGGGGCAGCAGCCTGGTGGGCAGAGGCTGAATGCTTGCAGCAAGATGAGCGTGCAGCATCTCTGCAGCCCAAGGAATGTGTAAATACAGCCAGCACCGTGCAGCACGAGGCAGCAGGACCCTGCACCAGACACCCTGCAAGTCTGCAGACAGGGATCATCGAGTGGTTTCCCAGCACCCAGATTAGGAGCTAAGCTCCTCTGAGCTGCATGTGCTATTGAGGCATGGAACTGAGTGCGGAGCCGGAGTGGGTTTGGGACATAAGTGGACTTTTCCCACCATTTTTAGGCACAGGAGCTGCACTGTTTTTATGTTCAATTGATGACTTGGCTCAGAAATAGCACCAAAAAATAAGCACAGGAGAGAAAACGGGGAATAAGTCTCAGATCCTTGTCCTTGGAGGCCAGAATCTGCAGCCCCAGCAGCACCCCCACCTGCTGCAGTCATGGGACACAACCCAGACCCAGCTCCTTTCCAGCACTATCAGCCCTCACTGATTAGCTCAAGGTGTGCCCAGAAAGAGCAGTACCTCTGCTGCTGCAGGCAGCACGGCCCCATCTGAGGCATTTTGCAGCCCATTGGGACAGGGTGGTGTCCTGTTATCAACTCCACAAATGTTATCTCCACTTTCTTCCTCATGGAGCAGCTGCCACCATAAACACCAGCAAAGATCAGCACAGCAGGATGGCTGAGAGCTGCTGCAGGGCGAACAGGAGCTGCCCCGTGCCAAACCCCAGCGCTGCACGCAGGGAACAGTCCTGCACAGCCCTCCTATGGGCAGAGGGTTTGTGGCCCAGCTCCCACCTGCACAGCCCACAGTCCCCCCCACATTTCCACTTCCAGTGTGATCGCAGAGCTGCAGAGCAAGCTGGGAGCACAGAGCTCATGCAGGGAGGGGAAGCATGAGCATGGGGAAAGCAGCTCCCTGAAGAGCAACTGGAAGAGGGAATGCAAGTACAGAACATCAGGACTCACGGTGCAGCTCTGACCTGAGCCCAGACAACAGCATCACAGTGGGACACAGGCAGGGCACTGACTTGCACTGGGCCTTGCACACCCCCCATCTTGCCAAGGGCTGCAGCCTAGCAGCACTGCCCCAGCTCCCAGGGCAGCGATGCCTTCCTCATTTCTAAAGCAAGAAAAGTGCCGTGAGAGCAGCTCTGTGCAAACACTGCCTCTTAGCAAACACCACGTGCTGACAACATCCTCAAATCCTCAAACTGAGATTAGCAGGATTTCTCTTTTCTTTTAGAAGCTACGTTAGCAGCAAATAGAGAGGCACATGGGCTATTCACATCAGGCAGGGTCAGCTCCGTGCCCAGCTCCTCATGCCCAGCAACAGCACAGATTTGGTCTCATCTCTGCTCTGGGCTGGGTCTCCATTGAGCCATGAATCGGTGACTTACCCAGCTCCTTGGATCCTTGGCTCTCACTGGCCAACTCCCCCATCTTCACCAGAGCATCGAAGTATCCTTTTGCTGCATATGTCATACCTAAAAGCATTAATAAAAAAAAAAAGAAAGCAGGTTATAGACTTGGCTGGCAGCTATTATAACTCCTGCAGCACCGAACAGGCGCTAGACGCTAACAGAAAAACAGCTCTGACTTCAAAGAGCTCAGCCCCACAGGGAGGGACGAGACAACAAACAAGCAAGAGGAGCAAGGAACACACCGGGAAAGAAGAAAGCTGGAGCAGCAAGATTACAGAGCTGCTCAGGAGGGGAAAGCAAGGTACGTGCAGCACCTCGGTGGTTTTCATTCCAGCGTAACCACCGGAGCTCAGCAAAAGCGCTGCAGAATAATTGAATATCACAGACTTTCATTATAGCTCAGTGCTGTTTGTTGACATTCCAGCTCCCTGCTCGGCTTTAATCAGATAAGCAGGGGGTTTCCTCTCATCACGGAACACGCTGTACAGCTCAGCAACGAAGCCTCTTCCAGAGAGCATCCACTGAGCGACGTTTTGCCTTCGGGTGCCCCACCAGCTCTGGGATCCCAAACAATGACTGAAGACAGCTGTCAAGCTTGCAGGAAGATCTTGGAGCAGAGGTGTGAGAAAAATGGAAGTCCCCAAGTGCTACATCTCTGGAACACCTTCTGGGATGGTTACTCCCCCCACTCCCTGGGCAGCCTGTGCCATTGAGGGCTACTATGGAGAAGAAATTGTTCCTAAAATCCAGCCTGACTCTCTGGTACATGGAGGACATCACCTCTCATCCTCAATGGTGCTGCACGTGAGGGTCTGTGAGCACCCCAGGTCCTCACCCCGTGCCATGGGCACCTCCCATACCATTAACATCCTCTGGGAAGCAGTGGGGAGGGATGTGGACCCCTCACAGGCATGCAGCAGCCCCGCCTGGCCTGGGGGAGATAAGGAGTGCTCCAGGCACACGAAGAGCAGGAATGCACAGAGCAGGAATGTGCAGATCCTTCCCAGAGGTCGCACTTCAAACACCACCATTTAAGACTATGAGACTGAAATCTTTTTTTTTCTACCGACTTAAGATCATGACAGCCTCTGCCCTTAAAGGCATCTCCAGCAATCCAATTAAAAAAATAAAATCCAGGCGACATGCAGCGCAGCTTCTGAAGTGAGCAGAGGCGAAGCAAATGTCCTCTGCACGAAGCTCTGACAGAACAGGGCTGGACAGGACCTGGGCAGCACAGAGTCACCACGTCACAACTGTTTGGTTTTGGTTTCCATCAATCCACGGTTCGCCCAATTAATTCCATGCTCCTCTAACAGCCCCCAGTGGGAACCGATAGGCAGCAAAGAGCTGCCGCCAACAACTGTGTGTGAAGGGGGGATTTATTTTCCTCTGCAACTTGAACATGTAAACAAATACTTTTAAATAGAGCTTTAACTTAATTTTAATTATTTAAGAGCACCGTGCAGCCCCACATGGGCTCATAGTCCTCCAGCAATGTGCCAGCAGCACAGCATCACTTACTTGCTAAGGCTTTTTCATAGGTCTTCCCCATAGAAATGAAGTTCCTGAGGCTGGGGTTGAACTGCTCCATGATTGTCTGGAAGAAAGGAGGACAGCAGGTGTTAGTGGAGGTGGCAGCAGGGCAGCTCAGTGTGTCTTTAAGGGCAGGAATGGGGTGAAGGACTCACCCACACCTCCAGCATCACAAGGGTGGTTATGCACTGATGTGGCCACATTTCAACCCATGCTGCTCAATGGCAGCACTCCCACTGGGCAAAGGTTCTGCTCCTTTTGGGCAGCTCTAAGGGTGAGAGCAGGACGCTAAGCCAAGCATGGCACAAATGATTGGACACAGCCAGAAACAGCCCACGCTGCTGCACTGAGCATCATCCAGTCCCACCATGGCCTGCAACCAGTGTCATACTGGAGCTGCACACGGGGAACTGCACCCATGTCCCCAGCAATGCAGCCACCAGCGTCGGAGCAGCAGCACGCCACAACTCACCAGCACAGCCCCTCCTCCTCCCCGAGGTCCTTATTTCCAAACAAGGGGAGAGGAGGACTAATCAGACCGTGCCCAAGAACGGCTCTTTGTGTGTTTGTCAGGAGTTGCCAAAGCTGCTCAATCCCCAGCACTGATAGCATCTCTCAAACCAGACACCAACCCCAGCTGAACTGGGGAGGGAATGGCAGCTCCGTGCCCACTGCACCCCCAGAGCAGCCTGCACCCAAAGCAGGGGATGTGGACAGCCAGCCACAGCACCACTGGGAAGGGGCTCAGCACCCACCCCACTGCTGGCAGCGTCCCACACTGGGAGACAGACAGACACTTCTGTCCAATAAGCTGATTAAGCATCTGTCACCTCACCCAAAGCTGGCCAAACACACAGAGCTCATTTTCCGCCCCAGGCATCCTCGGCCCCAGCTCTGCTGCACGCCCTTTGCAGGCTGCGATGGTTTCATTTCCTTCTGTGGGTGCAGGGCAGGCTGTGCATAGCTGAGCTCATGACAGCTGGGTTCCATCCTGCCTTGGGATGCTCCAGCCCAGAGACAGCACAGTGAGCACCCAGCTAATGAGAGCTGCAGGGCTAATTGAGGCCGGGGCAGCACTGGGAACATGCTCAGCTTGGAAGGAGAAAAGGACCTGCAGCAGCAAGCCGTGCAGTGAGGTGTTCTCTGTAATTGTGGGAGAAGATTGCATGGGGGTTAATTGGCACTGGGGCGGGCTGCTCTGCCCTTCCCACTTCACACTGACATATCCCTGCTGCTCCTTCCCCAAACCTGGGGCAGCTGAGAGGTACAGCAGCACCTCGGGGTATGGCACAGCTGTTTGGCAGCAGCAAACCAAGAGCAAAAGCGTTGCAGAAAGGCTCTGCTGCTCCATGGGGGGAGAGGAGGCTCCTTGGCAGCCAAGTAAAACTCATGGAACCCAGAGAGGAAGTTTGCTGAAAGTGAATGTTTTTAAGACACTGCCTGGAGACTCCAACACAAATAGCCCCACAGGAGAAGGGAATTAAAAAGGGATCTTCACTACAGAGATAAAAATAGAGGTTTCTAAGCCGTATTTTCACTCCCGTGGTGGGAAGAGAAGCCAGCTCCAGAGCTAACACACCTTCACCTCCCCAATGAGAGATGCTGGAAAGCTCCCAGCTACTATGGAGAAGCAAACACTGCAGATAAACACTGAGCTCACACCAGGGATCACACTCAGAGCCTGGGGAGCCCGGGCACAGGGCACTGCAAAACCCCAGCGATGGAAGCACATCTTGCCCTCTCTCCAATTCTGCTCCATCAGCAGCACCCACAAACCCGCTGCCTGGGCAAGAGTTTAGAAAAACACAGACAACAAAACCTGGCAGCAAAAGGTTGGGAGGGCTGTGCTTTGTTCAGTGGCATTGACCTCCTGGGTAATGCTGCTCAGCTCTCTGGGATTGGCACGGCTTTGTTCAGCTGCCAGAAAAGAAACTAATGCAAAGCACGAGGTCTCCAGGCCACAGTCCTGTGGGTGGGGGGAGAGGAGTGCATAGGAAGCGAGCTCATTGCCTCTGCACTCCGAGCATGCTCCACCAAGAGCTCACCTCCTGCTCCAATGCCATCATCATCAGCCCACAATTAGAACTTTGAGCACTCCCCAGGAACGAGCTGGAAGCAGAGCTGGCTCACCTTGTATCACGTTTCTCCTGCACAGGAAGCGAACCTTCACAACACTTCCCCAGGGTCTTTACAACCACGCTCCAGAAAGTCCATCCCCCTCCAGCCCAAAGGCAAATCCTACAGCTGAATGCCAGAAGGAGCTGAGGACGGCCCTCAGGCTGCCAGGACAGCAGCAATGTCCTACACCTCCAGCACAAGTGTTGGGCTCTACTTCTACGCTAGAAAAACCACCAACTCTGCTCTTCCAGCATTGCTCCACCACAGTGCACAGCCCTGCAGAGCCACCAGGGTGACATCCCCATGGGATGGGTGCTGTGACAGCGCTGAGCACCGCAGCACGGCCACACTGCGATGGCACTGCCACGCCACAGCTCAGCTACAAGGAAGTTTTGTTTCTAAATGGGTCAAGCCCTGCCTCGGGAACGCCTTCCATTATTTCTGTGTTAATATTTAATGCCCAAACAAACCCTGGCGCTGCCTCCATCTCAGCACGTCCTGCCCTGCACCAACAGATCTCAGCTGCAAACAGCAGCCCGCACCGTGCTGCTGCTCCAGGAGCATCTCCAACAGGAGCAGCTGGCCCAGGCAGCACTTAGCATCAGCTGTACCAGACACTGTGCTCACAAGCAAGGGACACAGAGGAAGAACAGGGACCCTTCCAAAACCACTTCATTTCTACTCAAGGCAGCAGAGGATGAGGACAGCCAAGCTTCAGGGCTGGAGCGTAGGTACATGGCCCACAGGGCACAGAGCAGCTGCTGGCTCTTGGCACCCACTGCCAGCACCTCCCCAGGAGCCACCAGCAGCAACCCATGGCCCCACCTCACCCAGATGATGAGTCCATGCTCTGGGAGGTTTGCAGCACATTGCCCTCCACCCTGCAATGCAAGCAGCAATGTGAAATCACACTGCGAGCACAGCACCAGGAGCCACCAAAGGCAAAGGCACCACTGATCCAAGAGCAGTGCAGGAACGCATTGGGGTACCGGGACAGACCAGGGGCTTCCTTCTGCGTTGCACACACTAACCTGCAAACTGCAGCAGCCCTGAGGCACACAGCATCCCACAAAGCACTCTGCACAACCACAGCAGGGCAGCGCCATGCTCAGCCCCGAGCACAGCCAGCACCAAGGCACAGAGCACAGAAACCGGGGTGGCACAGCTGACCCCAAAGGCCAACTCTTTCATTTGGTGTTGCAGTGTGTTCTCCCTCTGCTGCCAGCACACCGAGCCAGCCACCATTTCCCTCTTGATTCACTTGAGCAAGGAGCTCTCCCTTTCCCTCCAGACTTGGAGATAACACGGCTGTTGTGCTGGGAGTAGCATTTATTGCATCTGAAGGGGAGTAAATGACTGGCAGAAATCACACCTGTGTTTGTGCACGACAATGAGGGTTTGAGTTCAGGGCGCTGCTAAGAAACCTTTCTCCAAACCCAGAGCGAACCGTGCACCATTGCAAAATGATCTCCCACGTGAAGAAAGAGCTCTAAACGAAATGGAGGTTGGCCTGGAAGCAGTCATCTCATCCATCAGAAATAAGAGGTTCGTCTCCAGGCGGAAGAGACACCGCTGTCCCCCAGCCCAGGGGCAGCTGCACTGCCCCACCGAGGTGCACAGAAGTGAATCAGTGCCTGGGGAAGGTGGGATTACGTTGGTGGAAGGTGGCAGCATCCTCCGTCTCGCTCTGTAATTACTCCACATGTGTAGGCAGCTGCCTGTAGTGGCAAAGCAGCGAGGGGGTGGCTGACAGCTCCTCCACCAGCTCATTAGTGCAGTCACTCCGAGGGGGAGCGCTGGTACAGGGAAATAATTACAGTGGGCTCCCCAGGCAGAACGGCCGTGCTGGGTGCTGGGCCAGCAGGGCTGCTCCGCGCACAGGGAAGGAATAGGGCAGACAGCACTGTGCCCATAGTGTGTTCTGGGGCTGTGCTGGCATCGGACAACAGCTGGGCATTGGGGCTGTGAAGCACCAGGGCCAGTTTTGGACCTGTGGGTTCCCAGAGCTCTGGGTGCTCACGCTGTTTTGCCCTAACACGGAGTTCAAGGAGTCCTCCACGGAACACCGACACGCAGCTCCTACATGCTGCCCATGGAGCACCTGCAGAAACCAAGGAAAGCATCTGCTTGGCTTCAGGAAATGCTGTTTTCTTCCCACAGCCAGGGCAGCAAAACGGGATGTGGGTAACACCACAGCATCTGCCCCCAGCTCCAAGTTCTCATCTCCACGCTGCACCCGCTGTAACGCACACAACTCCGAGCCTTTGCTGACAGCAAAGCCATCATATTGGTTTCCTATGAGCCTGCAGCTGGAGCAGCCCCTTGCCATGGGCGCTGCCCTCTGCTCAGCAGTAACAGCCCTCACTGTGACCCCAGGGCTCCATGTAGTGCTCTCAATGCAGAAACGACAAAAGCTATGGCTGTGGGCAGGAGGAGAGCACAGCCAACACCCCCCATTGGTTCTCTAAGGAGCAAACATGGTTCAACCACAGGTGTTTCGGGACAGAACTCACCAGCACAGCCCTCTGGCCGAGGCCGACACCAAATCACACTCGAAGCTGCTGAGCACATGGCACAGCGATGGCACCCAGGACACAGAGCTCTGCAAACTGCCATCAGCACGGCCCTTCGAGGGCAACACCCCTGGGACAACACCTGAGTCACCAGCAAAACTGCTCTGGAACTGACCACACCAAGAGCACAGCACAGGGACAGCATCAGGGAACCTGCTTTGGCAGGAGGGTTGGACTCCATGATCTCTAGAGGCGCCTTCCAACCCCTACAATTCTGTGATCAGCGCGATGCCGTAGGTCTGCGCTTTGCACAGCTGGAGGTGGAGGAGGATCGGCGCATTTAGAGGGTGGCGCAGGGACCCCAAAACCAGAAGGCGCCATCCGCAGAGCCACCCCGCATCCCGCAGGGCCTGGCATTTCGCGTGCCCGCAGGAGCCTTCTGAACTTCCCCATCCCGATGTTCCAGGCGCTGGATTCTTTTTCTAACCATTTTCTTGTAACGCAGAACGCTCAGAAGAGCTCCAGCTTGAGAGACCGAAGATGTGAGAGCCGTGCGGGTGGAAGGGACGGCATCCCGTGCGACGTGCAGGGCTGGAGAGGTCCTCCCGACCACGACCACCGCATCCAGCAAACCGAATCACGCGGAACGGCGCATTTTACCCCATCCGATTTCAAAACCAAAAAGCAAACCGTGAAAGCCGGAGCCCGCGGAACCGCGGAGCTAAGCGGGGAGCTCACCGCTCTCGGGTATCGAGAGAAAGGGAACGGCGGCCCGAAGTGACCCGGGGACGGGGTAAGTGGGGGGAGGGGGTGCTGCCCCGCACCCACCCCCACGCAGAGCCGGGGGGGTCCGGCACCGCGCCCGTCCCGGGGGCTCCGCGAGCTCCGTGCGGCTGCGGGTGGAGGCGGCGGGAGGGGAGCGGGGGCGGTGCGGTGCGGCCCCCCCGGCGGCGGCGGCACATCCACATCCACATCCTCCTCCTCCTCCGCCTCTCGCCCCAACACCGCGCTGCCCCCGCGCCCGGCGGAGGAGGGGAAGAGAAAAGGAAAAGAGAGAGAAATAAAGCAATCAAAGCAGATGGAAGAAGGGTGAAGGGAGGGGGGAGGGAAAGCGGGAGACGCGCCGCGCGGCCCCGCACCTGTTGCGGACTTACCTTGTAGACATTCTCGGTGAGGCGGTGCACCTCCTCGGAGCGGGCCATGGCGGGCGGGCCGGGCAGCACCATGGGCGGCGGCGGGGGCTGCGGGGCGGTGCGGGGCTGCGCGGACCGGGGCTGCCGGCGGACGCGGAAAGCGGCGCAGCGGAGCGGTACCGCCGTTTTTATCAGCTCCAGCCCGCCCCGCACCGCCCCGCACCGCCACGGCCCGCCCGCGGGGAGGGGCCGCGTCCTGGGAACGCCTCTTCGTGCCCCATCGTGCCCCGACCCGTTCTCCGCGTACCCGTCATCTCCATCCCATACCGTCCCATCCCATCTGCCATTCCCATTCCGTACCTCATTCCTATTCCATACCCCATTCCCATCCCGTACCCTGTGCCCCATTCCAATCCCATACCTCATTCCCATCCCATATCACAGTCCCATCAAATAACCCCATAACCCTTTCTGATCCTGTACCCACTCCCATCTCATACCCTATCCTACACTCCATCCCATACCCCTCTCAATCTATCTATAGCCCCTGCTGTGCCTTATCCTATAGCCTGCAATACCTCTTCCTATACCCCCATACTCTTCCTTCCCCCCCTCCATGTCTCACACTACATCCCACAAACCTTGTGGTGCCCTGTGCTGTGCCCCATAATTGTAGCTGCCCTGCACACACTCCCTGCACCCCATGCTGTGCTTCTGCCCACATGGTGCTGGGCATGAGGGGTGATGGAGGGCTGCAAGGTGTTGGTGTCAGATGGGGAAGGGCAGCAGAAACCAACCAAGAAAGAGTGGGACCATCACTGCGTGTCACGGCCCTGTTCTTATCCTATCCCTGTTTCTGTCCGTGTGACCACAGCACTGAGGTTCTCCCATATGCAGAGATGCCATGGCACAAACTGCTGTGGGTGTCCTCACCTGCCCCCAGGATGAACCTCCCCCCTTTTTCTCCTGCCCTTGGCCCCAGGAAGCAGTGCAGCAGGTAGCAGCCAGGTGTGCTATTTTCAGCCATCTCCTCCCTCCAATCCAAAGGCCTGTGGCAGGAGCAGCCCCAGATGGTCCCCATAGCTCTGCTGCTGTCCCACTGCCCCCCCTGCACCTCTCCACATTCACACAATGGGGAGCAGGGGCACAGCTCAGCCTGGCGCACCTGAATCTGTCCCAGCCTCATCCCATCTCTATCCTGGTTACATCCCTGCTTCCCACACCAGAGGTCAGGGATGAATTCACACCACATGTGCAATTTCCTACGTCAGTGGATTAACCCCTTCCCACTGAGGTTGGAGGGCAGGAGGGGAGCAGAGACCTCCTGGCTACAACTGGGTATGTGGGACATCCAGCCTGGTGCTGCAGTGTGCTCCTGCCCCAGGGACCAGGACCAGGACCAGGCCCAAAGCTGCTCCCACTGCCAGCAAAGTGCTTTGGAGAGAGCAGCCAGGAGCACAGTGCTCCACGCGCATCTCCATCGCCTTATTTTTAGTTGTGTTATGTAAGTTCTTCGCCACGTCACGGAGGTGGGGGGTTCTTGCATCTAATTCCAGTGTGACAGCCCAGCAATTCAAGCAAGCTGTTCTGCTGGAGAAGATAAAAGGATTTGTAATTTCTCATCATGGAAGAGGCCTTTTGGGACGACCCGCAGAGAATCCCGCGCTGCTTCCAGCCTCCACCCGGCTCCGCTTTCTTCCCATCTCCTGCTTCTCTTTATCTCTATCCCCAGGAAATCTGAGTACTGACAGCCTCCCTCCCTCACACCCCTGCTCCCAAAGCTCGAAGCCTCCGGGGTTCCTTATTCTCATGTTAAGAGATGGATTCCCTCTATTCCCATGGCTGTGCTGCGCCCACCACACCCCAGGGCCAGCAGCAGAACCCCTGCCTGCACCTCGCACCGCAGTGCTTGCTCAACATGGAACCCAACACAAGGCAGTGCCCACATGGGACCCCGGCAGCCGTAAGGCTCAGGACCATCCCCCCCACAAACCCCCTCCTCGGCTGACGGCGCATCCACGCACGCAGCACCGTCCACCTCCAGCCCCGGGTGGAGCGAAGTTGCTGTGGCAACACCACCTTATGTAATCCACCCAGTTCGGCTGCAGGTGTGTGGAGGAAATGGTGCTATTTTAGAAGTTTCATTAGGTTCCTTCTTAATTATCAGCATGGCGTCACACCAGTGCTCCCAGCCAGGTCATGTGCCCCAGTGCTCGGAGCGAGCATAGAACCACGGTGGTGATGGGTGAAGGCAGAGGGCTCCTCTTGGCCACTGCTCAGCCCCATGTCTCCCCATGGCTGTGCCCCATTGGAAAGTGCAGGATGGAGGGTTCCATGGGGATACCACCCCAATCCAAGCAGTGCAGCACAGGGCAGGAGTATCCCTGCAAGTGCCAACGAGATCACAGAGAAACCTCTGTGCCTTTGCTCTCATGCAGATGTCTTCTCCATCAGGGACCTGAAAACGCTGCATGTACTCTGCTGCGAACCCTCTCCGTGCTGTGCCAGGAGTTATTTGTTTCTCAAGCCATTTTAAGATGATTTTTCTGACATCTGATGTGGCGCTTTGGGAAATCAGCCTAATGGGTTCCAGCACAACCTCAAGAGCTTCTCCCCCCGCCAGCTCGTCCTGCTTGGCTGCTTTGGCTGATGGCTCGGGCAGCTCTGATCGATGTGCATTTCCCAGCCGTGTGCTCACAGTGTGCTCAGCCCTGAGCTGTGCTATGGAACCTCAGGCATTGCCATGGAGCCCCAGGCTGTGCCAGGGAATCCCAGGATGTGCCATGGAGCACTGAGCAGTGCCATGGAATCCTGAGCTGTGCTATGAAGTGCTGAGCTGTGCCATGGAGCCCTGAGCTGTGCCATGGAGTGCTCAGCAGTGCCATAGAGCCCCAAGCAGCTGCAGGGATGCCTGGTGACCTGCAATGCCCCATGGTTGATTGCATCCATCCCACGCTCTTGGTCCTTCCCCACTGCCCCCAGTGCTGTACCATGCAGTGCTTCGAGGTATAGGGAAGTTTTTGCCTTTGGTTTTGTAGAGTCAGGACTTCAAGTTGCGACCAAAAACTGGAGATTCCCTGCGTGTGTCAGCAACTCTCAGCCTGCTAAATCCCCCGAAGCACAAACAGCAAATCAAGTAAAGCCATTTATTGAGGATTAGCAAAGGATGAACAATTCCGGCTCTTATTTTATTAGGTGGAAGCTGTGGCACCAAAATCCAGCGCAGAGCCCAAACTGGCAGTGACAGCACTTTGGGGCCCCTGTGCAGCACTCAGCTGAGCAGCGCTCCTCCAGCCCCCAAAGTAGGTCAGCATTGCATTGCAGGGCAGGGTCTGCAGGGGGAACTTGGCCGGGTGAGGTCGAGCCGGGGTCAAGCAGCCGATGGTAACAGCAGGGGAGCAGGGGGCAGCCCCAAAAGGTCAGCTGGCCAAGGCCTGGAGGACCGGGATGCGGTGATGCCCCACTGCAGCTCCTGCTGTTTGGAGATGGGGCTGCAGGGGGTGTGGGGCTGGGCTTCCACTGCTTGGCCCCACCATGCCACTGGGCAGGCATGGCTCTGCTGGCTCCGGGTCGGCCTCAGCTCCCGGATCCATGAGTAATGCTGCATTACAGCCCGCTAAGGAGATCTCTGGGGATACTTCTGAATAACAGGCATAGTTCATGCGATTTGCACAACGGGCGCGATGGGATTTGGCATCACGTTGCTGGAGCTCGGGCTGGGGGTCACCAGGCTGGGGGTCACCAGGCTGGGGGGCTGCCTTCCCACCTGCACGGCCCCCCAATGCCAGCAGCCCTCACAGCCCCGGGATCAGCCTCCACTTGCTCCCTGTGACTCGGTGCAACCTTGGGCACAGCCCAGCCTCCGCCCCACGGCCGGGGACAAGGAGCGGCCGCTGATGGCACACAAAGGCGCAGGGCGTGCACCACCCGAGGAACCTCATTCCTCACTGTGTGGGGCAGCGTTGGTGTGGAAGGAGTGGTGACCCGAGGCTGCGTGTCCCCCAGCAGCAGCACCCGGCCCCGGCTCTGCACGGAGCTCACAGGCAGCTCCCGGAGCTGCAGAGGTCACATTCTCACACAGCCCCATAACAAACCCGCTTTGTTCCCACTGCTGCTCCGATGAGGGAACGGCACGGATTCTGTTGGGCTTTTTTTCCCCCCCAGTTGAACTGCCTTCGGGTGCTTTCACCGCCGAGCGGCCAGGGGAGCGCTGCACCTCTGCAGCCCCTCACCCTCAGTTCCACGCACGCTTCAGGAGCTGTTTGAACGAGGGGGTGCAGCACCAACCCCAGCACAGCACTGCAGCCGCGTTGGCATAGAAACTGCTGCGGCTCCGTGGATGCACACAGCTCGGCTGCACCAGGAGGGGCTCAGCCCCAAATAACTCCCAAGCTGCTTCCAGAGCATCTACGGCTGCGCTGCAGGGAAAGGAAGCCGAGCCTGAGCTTATGGGTGAGGCTGATGCTCTGCTGCCTTGTGGGCAATGGGGAAGTTGAGTCCATTTGAAGGCGACGCTGCTTGCACAACGCAGGGCACGGCAGCATCAGCACCCCCACATCCACCACCACCACCAGGACAGGATTGGGCACGGACTGTGCCTTGCAGATAGAGTGAGGACGTGATGCCAGCAACAGGCCCTGCTCATGGTGCATACTGGAGGAGTGCTACCGTTGCAGCAAGAGCACAACATGCAGCTTCTCTCCCAAACACAGCTCCAGAACTCAACACCCATGGCAGGGCACTGGTCCTGCTGTTACCTGGCAGCACAGTGCTCCCAGGGTGCCCAACACACAGCGTTGCTCCTTTCCTTCACATGGAGCCACCTCTCAGACCTCCTGCCCAGGTGCCTCCCAGGAGCACAGGGGTGAGAAGGAGAAGAAGGAGAAGAAGGAGAAGGCAACTCCAACCCATCGAAAACATTTACCGTGAAAACAAGAGGCTGGAAGAGGAATCGGTGAAACCATTAAAGCTGTTTATTGTTACAGCACACCACAGAGGTCACACAGCACTCCTGGCGCTTCCTCCCAAGGAGACACGGTACAATCTGTTTGGTACAGGGATTAGGAGAGGAAGCTGCTGGCAATCTGCTTGCAACTTTCCTGTGGGGAGGTCAGAGCGTGGCCTTTCCCAAAGCTGGGAGCCGCA